AAATTTGCTGTCGTCCAAGAGCTCGAGACCAGAGCTCGAGAACAGCGTCGCAACTTAGACAAAGGGCCTCGCACCATGAAGAAAAAATCATCCAAGGAGGGTCCTGTTTCTGAGAAACCACGGGTGGTTGAAGATGCGAGACAGGACAAATTGAAAACCCGGATGTTCAAGGGTGTGGTGGAAAACGAAACGTTAAAGCTTCCGCTGACAGACTCAGAAAGCGCGTCAAATATGACGACGCCTCTCGCGCAGCCATTGCCTGACTCCCCTCTTGGGTCTTTGGACAGCTCGACTTCGCATATGACGTCTTTGAATGACAACACGGAAATGAAGCCTCTTCCACCGTCGGTTCTCAGCTCTAACCAGGGCACCATGACTTCGAATGATTGGTCATCGATGTCAGATATTGATCCACAGCCAGTCCACCAATTACAGCATCGTCAATCTGATGCTAGTGAAGACGCCCCTATCCCACTTGACAGTCTGCCCTCCGAGCCAGGACCTGCTCCGGTGCTTCAAGATAACGGGGAAGACCAAAGATCCGCACCTCGAGCCATCTCTGGCAGAGCAGATTGGCATTTGGGCGCTTCAAAGGGGACTTCTGAGGTAGACGAATACGACCAGAAACTGGAGGACAAGAAGGCAGCTATTCGCGACTATAGGACCTTTCCCAAGAAAGTTCTCTCATTAGAATCTCCAATGGTGCCTATTAAACCGCCTGGTTTTCACCGGCATGAATCCTCGGAGAGCTTCCCCATGTTCTCAGCCTCAACAGAGAGCTCCCATCCGTCCAAATCAATGGCCACCTCGTTATCCTCAGCAGCGAGACTGTATGAGGCTCGCGAGGACGAAGATGTTGACCAGGAAGCGGCCACTGCAGAGCCTAGTAACAGCTATACTGAAGTCAAGGAGTCAGTCCCAAGGGCTATCTCTGTAATTGACAAAGCAACTCAGGGTTGTGAGACATTAGAAAGTATTCCTGATTCAGAGCATATACACCTCGAGCGACCGTCTAGTCCCCCTACTCTTCTGAAAGAGAGTCGGCCTCTGGATGCTCCTGGTCAAGAAGATGAAGATCCAGTACAGACCGACTTGACAGCCACTGGAGTAACCAGTGAGTTGATTGGCGTGACTGTCCCTGTCAGCCCTGACGTGACAACGAACAAGCCGTGGAGCGTCGAGATGCTTTTCAAAGAAGCAATTCGACACTACCATAGTGGGAACCATGTGGACATTCAGTCTGCCGCACACTTACTGCAGAAACTACGGATTCTTTTCAAGGATTGCGAAAAGATTCTTCCCGACGAGGAGGCAGAGTACATATTCAGAGCCTACAACGAGCAGTTGGTGCGCCAGTCAATGTACATCGAAGCGGCCGAGCTTCGACTTTTATGTGTCCCGTCTTACCCAGCAGTCTACGAATATGCCCAGGGGGACACTTTCATGAACGTGTTTTGTTTCACATGCAAACGTCCTTACGAAAACCCAAAGACCGATAATACGCGTTGTCATCGCTGTAACACTCCTCAGGAGCCATGCGCTATCTGCATGAGCCTTGACCCGCCACCTGAGTGGGTTGCAGAGCTCTCGAATGCGTCCGCCCACTCAACTCCAGAGCTGACCTCCGAGGTCGCATCACACGCACTTTCATCATCACATTCTTCACTGAAAACCGAACCCATTCCCCAGAGTGAATTACAGCGTCTCGACACTCTTCTCTCCGATCCATCGCAGCGCCCTCGACCCAAAGGATCCACTCTCTGGACCTGGTGCCAAGGCTGCGGCCACGGAGGTCACTTGGCTTGCATAAGCACATGGTTAAACGATATCTCCATCAGCGAAGGTGGTTGCGCTACTCCAGGATGCATGCATGATTGCGGCCCTGGCCCGCGTCGCGAACATAACCGCTCCGTCCTGCTAGAAGAATCAAAGAGGCGTGACACTGCCGGCCGAAAAGCCGGTGTAGGCTTTATCAAACGAGACACATGGACGAAAGGAGAAAGTAGAGCCGTCGAGAAAGTTCGCGGCATGCTAGGCGTTGGTGCATCAGCCGGGAGCGCTTCCACAACAGCTACCACCGCAACAAGTGGTGGGCCTAGCGGGGCATCCACTAGCACAATGTCACCCAAGAAGGTGCGATTGATAACGCCCAGTGAACAGGGTCAGCCGCGTCGAAGTGGTCCGCGAACTAGTCTTGGAGGCATGAGTGGGCTTAGCGGCTAAGTCAAGGCACGCACCTTTGGGTTCTCCCTATCTAGGTGTATTTATTGCAAGGGATCCGGACTATTTTTTTTTCTTTTCTTCTCTTTATTTTGGTTCAGCCTGCTATTTTGCGCTTTTGCAGATACCCGATCGTTGTCGGTTCTGGCGTCTCCGGGTGAAGTCTAGATTGCGCGGCGCCCTTGGTATGTCCGATAGCGCGTGGTTGATGATGTGGTGGTTTGTGTATGTGTGTGTGTGTGTGTGTGTGCTACTTGGAATCAATGTGACATACTAGATGCTGTTTCAATACGACAATGAAATTTCCTCCACCTTTTTGTCCATCTCAGCTATCAAAAAGACTATTAGGAAAAACCTACATACAGCGAGCGCTTCTCTGTCTCCTTTTCCCATCCACAACATGTACAGAAAGTAGGCAATATGTCCAGAAATCATCTCCTATATCCATCATTCGGGTCACAATATGTAACATCGACCAACCCGCTCCTCTTCTCTCCAAGATCGATCGATCGATCGATCGATCAACTTGGTATATACAGTCATCATCGCCCTGAAAGCAATCGAATTCTATTCAAGAACCTCCTTGGAACTGTTGTCTGAAGAGACAACCACCAGCATATCCGCCCTCAGGTAAGAAATAGTTCGAGCGCAAAAAAAGCTTAGAGCTTAGAACTTCCGCTTCTTCTTAGCAGGTGCCTTACTCTTCGCTTCAAGCTGTCTCTTCAGCTCTTCACGCTTCCTGTCCGCTTTCTCCTCTTCCGTTTCCTCTTTTTCCGGCTCCGCGGCTTGATCGTCCAGAGCCGGTGCAGGAGAGGGAGGTCCTGAGGACTGCGTTGCGGTAGCTGCTGGCGACGACGTGGGTAGAGTTTCTCGCTTTCGGCCGCCTATCACCCCCAGACCGTGGGACTTGGCCTGCGGTTTGCTCGATGATTCGGCTTCTGGTGGTGGCGATGATGGTGGGGAGGCTTGCCTTGCTTTGCCCTTGCCGCCTATGACGCCGAGCCCGCGGGGTTTTGTCTGAGGTTTACTGGATGATTCGGGTATCGGTGATGATGGCGGGGAGGCTTGTTTTTCGGCTTTCTTGCCACCTATCATTCCTATGCCACGGGGTTTTGTTTGACGGTTTGAGGGCGGCGGTGAGGGTGATGGAGAGGGATGATTGTCGCTGTTGTCGTCGTCTGTCTCGGAGGCTGTTTGGTCGCTATCTGCTTGGGGTACGGGGGCCTTGCGAGTTGGTACCACCTCGTCGACATCTGCTGATGCTGGTGATGTCTGGGGGGATTCTGGTTGCGTTGGTTGCTTTCCGTTGCCTCCGATTGTTGCAAGGCCTCTGGAAGTGAGTGGTGGTGCTCGAGGCCTCGCTGTACTTGGCCCCCCATTTCGATCTTCAAGGTCGTCTTCGCTTTCTGTTGCTGTTCCCTCATCTGGCTCGGAAGGGGGAGTTTGGTGAATTGGCTGAGGTCTGAGTCTCGGAGGCGTCTCTTGTCGCTGAAATGCACTTGTGAATAAACGGCAATGCATTATGTGGGAGAGGTACATACCTCAAATTCATCATCGTCATCGTCATCGTCAAAATCATCTTCAGTCTCCAAACCTCCGTCCGTAGTGTCCATATTCGTCGAGTCCTCTGGAGTCCTGGCATCTACGTCTTCGGTGTTATTGTTAGCTGTGGACATCTTTCTCCACCATCCTTCTGACGGCGCCGTTAGATCCTCGAGTAGCAGAAGATTATCATCAATATTGGAATCTTCTGTTTCTTCCACAATGGAGGATGCAAATCCAGTCTCAGCTGTTATCGCGTTGTTCTCATCGAGCCAGGATTCCTCATCGAAAGGCCTTGCTCCAGTGATATACTTGGCAGCCTGTGATTGCGCTGAACCTTTGTGGCTGGCCCTGAGTCCGGGGATACTAGGGAAGATAGTGCTGAGATCAAACCCGACGGCTTCAAGCTTATCGAATAGCTTCGACAGCAGCCAATCTTTCTTCTTAACCACTTCGATTAGATCCCGCTGGCGTAACTCCAAATAAGCCTCAGACTTGATCAGCGGAATAAGCAGCTGAGTAGTTGAAAAGCGCTGTTTCTCCCTAGCCATATAGAAATTCCATTTCAAAGGCTCAAGTGGGGCCGGTAGGCTTGTTGTGGTGATCAGGTGTAGAGTATCATTCTCCCGTCCACGCCTTAGCACCGTGCTGGTTCCTGGATCATTGCGTAGGGCCTCCCCTAGTTTCTCCAAAAGAATATTGAACTGATCTATGTCTTGGCTGGGGTCAATTGTCGCATCATCTTCAACAGCTCTTCCCAGAATATGCTGGCGGTTAGGACGCTCGGACCAAATATACGTGAGATCGGTCAGGTACAACTCATATCCATCTCTGAAAAGGGTGTATCTATAAAGGAGAAGTGGCGCAGGCGCACGGTTTGATATGTGCAATTTCTCCCACCTCGCAGACATCTCTCGAGTGTCGCTTGCGGGTGTTTTGATGGGTGGTTCCAGAGTAGTTAGATGGAAAGGTGTGGGAAGCTCCTCCAAGGCTCCCTCCCGCGGTGGATCACATGGAGCCGCTCGGGGCACGTGGCTATTAGGGAAACTTTGCCGGTCGCTATACCTCCCATTCTTGGCGCGCGACCACCCGTTTCTCCAGAAAGCTTGGAGGAAACTATGTCAGACCTCACGATTCTGGGTCTCTTCGCATCCATCTTTGAGATAGTTCACAATTAATTTTCTGTTATTCACCGATACCTTTGTGCCTTCCGGAAAGCATATTGAAAACGCGCCAAAATGTCATATCGAATGCCCGATCGCACGGGTTCGAAGCGAAGTCGGTCTCGATCGCCCTCCTCTCGCCATTCCCAGAAAGCCCCGCGCAGATATGACGAAACGGATCGGTATCGCGATAGGAGGGATGGAGATGAGCGGTCGTCACAAAACCGACCTCGGAACATGAGGGATCAGGTCCGTCTCAACCAGCTTCAGGAAGACGAGCAAGTGCGTGAATGGGTGGCGCAAGAGGACATTTTCGTTCTCAAGCAGGCGAAAAAGAAGGCAGAGATCAGAGTGAAGGAAGGCCGAGCAAAGCCGATTGACTGGCTCACTGTCACATTACGGGTGATCGATCCAACGAGGAATCCCCTTGACGATGAGATTGCGGACTCGGAGCTCGATGTAGTAGATCCGGATGGTGTGTTTGAGGGACTATCCCAGGACCAGCTACTCGACTTGGAAAAGGATATCGAAACCTTCTTGAGTCTTGAGAAGAACTCGCAGAATAGGGATTTCTGGAAGGTAGGGTTCTTGTGTTAAGCATGCAATTCGGGCTACAGGCTGATTTACTTTCCTTATTGCAGACCATGAAAGTGATTTGTCGAGACCGTCAAAAGACCACCGCCCCCGAAGGACGTGCGCTTAGCTCTGTGGCCGCGGATATAAACAGATTATTGAGCCCTAAGTCTTACGAACAGCTACAAACACTCGAAATACAAGTTAGGAAAAAGCTGGACTCCAACGAGCCTATCGATACCGACTACTGGGAGGAGCTTTTGCGCAGTCTTACTGTTTGGAAGGCTCGGGCGAAGCTGAAGAAGGTCTACCAAGCCGTTATAGACGAGAGAGTTCGAGGTTTGCGTAAACAGCAGTCTGAAGAAGCTGCGTCTGTGCAGGCGAAGCTGGCCCCTCTGGCGCCTATTATCCAAGCAGCCTCAGATGCGGTCGAAAGCCGAGAATATCGTGAACTCGACCCTGACCCATTGCTTCAGATCCGACCGGAAGATAAGGTTTTGGAGATAGTGGACGAAGATGCATTTCTTAACCAAGTGGTAGGCTACACTCACTACTGCCCAACGTTGCCAGGACTGACTTTTTGTAGGCCCGCGACCGACAGAAGATTTTGAAGATGGGATATGTTCCTCTCCGTCAACGGCAAGCAGAAAAGCCGTCGGTGCTTCCCATCAATCAAGCAACCACCGCTCCAATCGCCACAGCCTCGACGCGATTCTCCTCGATTCCTAACGAAGACTTCTCGCAGGCAACCAAGGCGCTCTATGAGCGAGAGTTGGCCAAGGGAGTCAGTGAAAACGAGGAGATATTTACCGGTGAGGAAGCTGTGAGCACAACTTCTCAGCCAGGATGGGCGAGCAAACACCGGCCCCGCAAACCACGCTACTTTAACCGTGTTCAAATGGGTTATGAGTGGAACAAATACAACCAGACTCATTATGACCATGATAACCCGCCCCCGAAAGTTGTGCAAGGGTACAAGTTCAATATTTTCTACCCTGATTTGATCGACAAGACAAAAGCACCGACCTACCGCATCGAACGCGAGCATGGACGAAAGCGGGGACAATCCTTTGCAGCGGCTGGGGAGGAGGATACTTGTTTGATTCGCTTTATGGCCGGTCCGCCGTACGAGGACATTGCCTTTCGGATCGTCGATAAGGAATGGGATTACAGTGCAAAGAGGGAAAGAGGGTTCAAGAGCACTTTTGATAAGGTATGTCTAAGAAACAAGCAAATCAGTCAAAAAGAGACTAACAGGATTGTAGGGAATTTTGCAGCTACACTTCCAATTCAAACGAGTAAGTACCCTCTGTCGCTCAGGTCATGACATCTGGAATATACTAACAATATTCCCCAGATTTACTACCGGAAATAATGGTTGTTGCTCGAAGGATTCGTGCTGGACCACAATGATGTACAGTGTTGTTGGATGGGATGGGACTGACGATCTTGTTAAGGTTCCACCACGCTCGGGATCCGTCGTCGGTCACCTACCGTCCCGCCTACTGCAGAGGTCAACCTTATTGGGCTGGAAACTTTAACCTCCTCCTACGACATTGGATCCTATCTCGGCCAAGCTAGGATATATCATATTGACATGAAACCAACATTATCGGACGTCGCAGATCAAAGTTTCCACATGTGCGTAGCGGGCCATGCTTATTTGAACCGCATTCCCTCATTTTATCGCCCATTGTTCCTCGCGATCTCTATCTATTCCCGTCCGTGGGACTCACCACCTTTCCCAGCTTTCCCAATGAGTAGTCTCGACATCTGGGGACTGTCGGCCTGCCGATCAAAAGGACCTAAATGCTATAAATCTTTAATTTTATTTCTAAATAGCCTGGCCTGGCTTGATTCGCATTGCCTCCACGGACGAAGGAAAGGCCGCAACCATGGTGCGGCTTTTCCTTAATGTCAAACCATGCCACCCTGCTGCATGTTCCTCTCGGGGTTTTGGCTGGTCGGGGAATCGGGAATAGGTTGGAGTATCTGCAGGAAATACTACTCTCTACTTAGTCTTCTGAATTTCTCGAGTGCTGATGGCTCTTGCTAGGAAAAGGGCCCAATGGCAAGTCCTCTGGAGTTCTGCACCCGCCCTTTGTTCAGTCGGTCGTGGTTAGCGCAATATTCGCAGGCTCTCTGCAGGTGGCCGCCATTCAGAAAGCTACCCATTCCAACCCCCGTCGGTCCAGTGTTGTAGTAGTCCACCAAAGTACCACCATGACAGCCCCCCCCCCCCTCCCCCCTGTAAGCACCAGATTAATTCTCTTTTTGGGCCCACTGAGTTTATTGGCTACAGCTGCACCGCTAGATCGCTGTTCCACAACCTGATGGCGATTCCCGCGGTAGAAACGAAGCTGCTCCGGCCAGAACCTCCCCCAGAGCACATGCTGGGGACAACAGAGAGGGCTTTCTTTTTTATTTTCCCTTTTGATTTTGTCTAGTTGTTTATATCCCTCTTAATCTTTTATCCAATTTTCTTTTTTCTTTTTTCCATTCCCTTATTTTTATTTTATTTTATTTTATTTTATTTTATTTTTCTCTTTCTTCCATTTTTCTCTTCCTGATCTTGTCATAGCCTTTTTGTTTCCGGGATATAATCCACCAGTTTTCCCGAATTTCGTTTCTTTTGCTGCTTCTGGGGTTCGTCGGGCAAATCTGCCTCCAACATATACATAGAGCCACGGTTGTTTGTCAGGGAAATGCATCGTGCTGGCTGGCTTCGTGCAGCAAGGAAGGAGGAGCAAGAAACAAAAAAAAAAGAAAAGAAAGGAAAAGAATATCTCATGAGCTGGCTTTTCTTTCGCCGCACAGCTCCCAGTGAACTATAGAGTCACCTCGTCCTGAGTGGTCACACGTCTTTTTATTTATTTTCTAGCCAGCCCCTCTTGCTTGACTTCCCCTTCTCACACAGGGCTTTCTTCACCCACCTGGCACGTTTTGTGTACCCTCGCTTCCCTCTCTTACTCTTAACCTCCTTGTATTAACCTCCAGGCGCTCCCTTGTCAGGCCAGAGCTTCTGAAACGGATTGCGACGACAAGTTTGATTCTTTGTGAGGACGACATGGATCGTTTCTACCCCCCTCATGGCTTACCCTCGGATTCAATTCCATTTGGCCGTGGGCTTGGTGAATTCACCAGACAAACAGAGACCCCTCCTAGTTCCGTCTCGGATGGCGTTCGTTTGGACCCTTCTCACCATCGTGATCCCTGTTCGGCAATCGGGAACTGGACGTGTTCCAGCTCTGCAAGCCCTGGAGAGCCGATGTTACTGTCTCCTCAGCACCAATATCCATGGAAGATGGCGCTCCCCCCATCACTTCCAGCCCCGGCCTCTCTACCGGAACGAGGATTGCCTCGTTTACTGCCATCTCATCGTCTTGAGACACCTGCCAGACCATCCTCTTTGGCGGCAGCTGGTGGCTCCAGGACAAGGCAACTTAAGCCCGGACTACGGCGCCTCGATGACAGCAAAGCACCATCAGACTGGCTACGTGAGTCAGGTTCTATCTCCTCATGCTCGCATGAGTCTACTTCTTCTTATCGCATTTCATCGGCGATGTCACGGTCAGATGCCTGTGAAACGGCTTGTCCTACAGCGAGCTTGCCACCACCGTCACCAGCAATCTCGGCGTTAACCTACCCATTGCTGAAGCTGGAAACGCCGGACTCTCCCGACAGTATTGATGATAAACCTTATTCTAAGCTTATCGAAATGGCCCTCAAGACCAATCCGGAAAAGAAGCTGTCCCTTCAAGGGATATACAACTGGTTTGAACAAAACACAGCAAAGGGGAGAGATCTCAGCTCGAAAGGCTGGCAAAATAGTGTACGGCACAACTTGTCCATGAACGCAGTGAGTCCGCCTGATCTCCACTCCCCCGATCCTTATCCTTGCTACATTAATTGTTACTGTATACTAAGACACGCTACTATACTATAGGGTTTTGAGGCAGTCCGGGAAGAACCGATACCCGGAAAGAAAGCTGTGAATTACTGGCGCCTAACTAATGAAGCCATCAAGAATGGCGTCCAATCCACCACTCGGTACCGGAAGCAGGCGAGTTACAGAAAGGCCTTGGGCTCGGATCCACCGGCGCCTCAACGCCAGCGATCCGGGGCTAAGGGAGGGAAAGCTACTAAAACTAAATCAAAGTTTCGAGGGCGGATGAGTGAGGAAGAGTTGCCCAAAGGCCGATACCATCCCCGGGTGACATCCCAACCGCGACCGACGAAGAATTTGTTCACACATTACAATACCACTGCGGGAACGTTGACCGGGATCACCATAATGTCACCCTTCCAGGTCTCCGGACTGACCCCATCGGGGACTCGCTTGTCCAGCGAGCCATTCGATTTGGGAAGCGTTGTTGGCTGCGCAGATCCCGCTCCATGTCCTCCCCTTTTTTGCGACATGGCGGGACCAGGGCCCGACTGTGTAGCGTTGGACTCTGGCTTTCTCGGCTGGGGGGCGGCTGTCCACTCATTTCCTACTGGCTTACTGGGTGGCCCTGGAATCTCCACGGATCTCCAAATGGGAGTATAGCATGAGCTCGGTGCAACAACACTAGATCGATAGAAAGATTTTTGGCTGACTTGCATATTTGGGTGTATTGTACGACTTGATTGATATAGCCCTGTCTGGCTTGGGTTTTGGGCGATGCATTGTCCCGTATCAGGATTTCGATCTTCCTCTCTTTTATTATGATTTTTTTTATTATTATCACGATTACTATCCCAGCTCGATTTAAATCGCCTTTTCTTACTCGTCTAGCTTCGGTCATTGATTTCCATGTAAACTCGTCACTGTTTTCCTCTTACTTACCCTAGGTCCAAATAACAATGTGCCATGCTTCATTGGTCCTGAACACGAATAGGCCGCTGTGGGCCTCATATCAAGAGTACGAAATGCGAAGAGATGTGGCGCTAAAATCGCTCAACCTTTTTTTTCTTTTCTTTTTCTTTCTTAATATTTATTTTTACTTCATTTCTTTCCTATTATTTTATTTCTCACTAAGACATTCCGAGCCTGATCTGGTGGGTTATGGAGAGACACGGGAGTAAGAAATTAGTGACTGGGGATGGGGGGTATGATGCTGACAACAACCGTGATGCATCCAACAGTATGAACACCTATAAAGCGAAGGCACGCATAGAGGGAACTGGTCGAGAAGCATGAGACATGAGAACGACTTGGATCAACCGGATCCCGGCAAGAAATGGTCGCTATTTCTGTATGGCTCGTTCGACTAGCTGCCGACTCAGATTTCATGTCAATGTCGGAGCAGTACGAATCACGAGCTGTTTGTTGGGCTTCAAAGACAAATGAGACAAGAGAGAAAAAGTCTGGTAGCTCATCTGCATGCCCTGCATGCAGGCAGCATCTCCGGCGTATCTTCGTTCTTCCACCCTTCCACCCTTCCACCCGCCTTTCTTTCGGGTCCAGTACTTTTTCGCCGAAATTTCTTTTCTTTTTGTGTTGATCGATTTGCCCGTTTTCCCTCAATTTAATCGGGGATGGGTGCCCAAGGGATCTACTAGTTTGCAGGCCCATCGACTCTTCCCATTTCCAAATCTCCAGCTGCCCCTCCTTCATCTTCCCCCTCCCCACGGACTAAATGCGACTAAACTCTTCCGTTCCTTGTCACTTGCTTAGCGACCACCACCCCATCTCCTCCCTCTCCGCTCGCTACCAACGACTCATAATTGCGTACAGGACTATCATCCAAAGAATTTGCCGCGCCTAGACGCTCTTATTCGATGGAAGAGTGAGCCGTCCTTTGCTGCCAATCAGGAATCGTGACGCGGCAGGTCTGCAGTGGTCTTGTCCTTCAATCTCTCGTGATTGATCTTCGTCCCTTACCCACGCGCTCAATTTCCGATTTAATTGGACAGTAGTAGGATATCAGCATCAGCTCTTGTAAGTGGCACGATACACACCTGATTAGTAGTACCTGACAGGCAGCACCCTAGCTTCTGTTGCTGCACCTATTTTTCTTCCATCTTTGAAGAAAACAAAAAAAAAATTTTCGAACTGCTTATGCCCTCCATCTGTCTACTATTATCGCCAACGGTAAAGGTACAGAGTATCTGTTTCAACGCCAGCGGATCTTACGCATTGCAGGCGCTCTAGTAGCATAGCTACTGACTTAGCTTCACATCTAGTGCGCAACTTCCGCATATACACCCCCGCCGTCAGTCTCCATATTACGGAACGGGTAGCCAACGAGCAAGATAGGAATGGGTTGAAACAATAAGCAAGACTAAGGATCCGGGCCACCGAGTATCCGCTCAATGAGACACAGCAGTCTCCCAAAGAACCAGTGTTGCCAAGCATACTGGCGTGTAATGGTCGTCTGCAGGATGGAAATGACGGGGCCTACGAGGTTACGAAGACACTAGAGTAGCATGCCTGCTCAGCTACAACTAGTCGCTGCATGACAGTCGCAGATGTGGAGCCTTTGCGAGGATATCGATGAGGGTGAAATCTCACCCTGCGCCTCAACGAGAAGGTACCTAGCATGACAACGCCCGCCAGTGATGCAGGCTTGGTGTCATGTCCCACTCTAGCAGATGCATGAGCTTCTTCCTGCAGATGGTGGAAGTCTCATCCCAGTGGCAGGACTCTTCTGAAGGTCAAACCAACGTCACTGACAATGATCCGTTGTGACCGGGCTATCTGGTCGGTGGTCACTCTCCAAGTATGTGGAGCGCTCAGAGCTCAGCTCAGGAGTCAACTGCTACCTAGCTATTAGGACACACATCGACTTTCTCCCCATCCCACATACATCGGGCTGCGCTACGCTACCTTTTACTCGCTTGGGAGTAGCGCCCCTCTGCGATATACCCCGAGGAACGCCGGGACTAGATCATTGCGGTCCTCTGACTGGCAAGGTTCTCCCTGGTCTTTCCTTCCTTTTTAGACCCCTCTTGTCTTGGTTTGCTTTTTTGCTTCTTCTCCCTTGTCTTGGTTTCCCGTCTTTTTCTTCATTACCGGCGTGGTGCACCTTCCTTCCCCTTTAGTTACCCTTCACATCAGTGGGTATCCAAGGCGGCTATTAAACTTTGAACTTGTGCACCCGACTTTGGTAACGCGGTGCAACTGCGCGCAAAAAGTTCCTTCTGGCCCCATAGCCCCCCTTCAATCTTGGTTTTCCCCTTTTAGTTTACGTTAATGTGACTTTTGACTTTCGAAAAACGGGCCGCGCCGAATGTTTAAGGCTAATCGGCAACAGTTCGGTGCCCACCGCATGGACGGTCGGATGGAATGCATCCGCAAGTGAGCACTATGCTTAAGCACGCTTGGGCCATGTAAGGGAAATGTCAACTGGCACGTTGACAAGTAGATAACCCAAGGCGCTGGGTTGAAGTCTAGAGCCGTGTCAGACCGGGGGGGCCGATATACGATTATTATGACTGACTGCCTCTGCATATTTGCTCTCACATGGCCTTCTCATCACCAACATGGCTGCCGAGATGCAAGAAATATATTCACTCAGAGGCGGCTAGCGAGAAATCGGCCGAAGGATCAATGAGATTGTCCCCGTGGTGGGAAGAACTAGTGCCAGTTTGTGTCTTCCAAGAGAGCCACGAATTCCTCACATCCCTGATGTTATCCGCAAGTTGAATCAGCAGTTGGACGCCACAGAAGATACCCCCTCTCACAGGAACCCACTCGCCTTTCCGAGTGTTCGCGATTTCTTGCCGCCCTCTTCGCCAATCGGTCGTTTGGCCAATCGCAGCAGTCGTGACCTTCCAAAGGCCACAATGCGATTCAAGTCCTTTATAGTTGTATAGGTATAACACTTGTGCTAAATTGAGGATTTGACACAGCGTGATCCAATCATCCTGAACAAGCAAGATACAGGATGATAATTAAATTCGATCGAGTCAGATGTAAGTAGTTGCCTTCTTTGCCTCCTCGGTTCGATATCAGACATTGCCAGGATGTATCCTGTATCTCGCATGGAGTGTGGCACCTCCCATCCCTGTGCCTTTTATTTGACCGGTCCATAACGGTATGATGCCAGCCAATCCCTCCGGATCCGAATAGTTTATATTATGCTACTTGGTACTTTAGCGTCGTGATAGACCACGATAGCATCCCTTCATTATTTTAGGGTTACTTGACCACGAGACTATATCTAATTCAAGACCGTCACAGCAGCGGCTAAGGCTGGTGTCACCCTCAGCACATGCCAGATGAGCCAAGCGACTGGGCCAAAGAAGCTCGCTGGGCGTGTCGCTGTATGTATCTGCCGGGCCAGGCTGGCTTGGGTAGAATTTTAATACACAAATCATATGTCCTTAGGTTAATACCATCGTCTCACTATGAGAAATGGATTGCAATTCGGACTTCCCACGGATCTGGTTCTCTCACCAATACCTTCTCTTCCTTTCTTTGGTCATTGCCCTTGCACCCCGCTTCGGCGAAGGGCAAGTACATCATCTTTCATCCTCTCGTTAACAGGGCGCTCAGCGATTCTCCATCGGAAAGCTGAAAGGAATTTTTCAAGCCACTTCCTATACCCCCCATCTTACGCCCCTCTCTTACCGTCTGAGAGGGCACAGGATACGGAATAGTACATGGAATGGCATGGATGAGCCAGGGAGAAAAGGGGGCAGATGGAGCCATCCTCTGCGTCACATGTGACATTTCTCCCTCTTGTCCCTTTCGCATAATCCGGAACCTCAAAATAAAAAAATAAAAAAAGAGCACTAACGCAGGGTGAGAGCAGTCAGTTGAAGTTGGTCTGACTGTTGGGTTGTTGTTGTTGTTTTGCTGCTCTGCTGCTGCTACCACTCGATTGGAGCTCAACGAACCAAGAATTCAACACAGCTAGCTGAACGATCTTCCCTGTCAAACAACATCAAGAGTGTCAAGCACTCCTTACTAAATTTATTACTTGCTAGCCGACTCCGCCACGATTTCAGCGCCAAGTTAATGCCCATCTGCTTACCGCATCTCGTTTCACTGACAGAAGGGCCCAAACAGTACCACCACAGCAAAAAAATCAGCAGCAGCAGCAGTAGCCGCAGGGTGGATAATTTTCATGTCGGATGATCAACCGACCCCCGAACGACCGATGGCTAACGCGCCTGTCAGACTGTCATTTATGTCAGTCAGCTGCATGCCATCTGCAGGCGAACAGGGGTCCAGGATTATTTCAATAGTGGCCAGGCGAAGGTGTGCGAATCTGTCATCATGGTGTATATTTCTTGGATTAATTCTTTTGCCGCCAGAATTCTTTGTCGGGGCAAGAGGAGGTGTTGGAACAATCATTGACCCGTTCTTGATAATTGCTAATTAGGTGCTTACGGTCACTCGCTACTACCTCTTCACACACAATGGAGACAAAGACAGCCCGAGTAACCCGAAGGATAGAGACCATGGGTAAGTAGGGATATCAATAGATACGAGGAGACCACCGACTAGGGGGGTGGTAAACCTACTACCAAATAATAGTAATAATCCCATTATATATGTTACTCCGATGATCCCTCATCCTCTCGGTCCGAGTTACTCACCTTGTCTTAGGTATGTACTACTTACCCACTTACCACGAATTGACCTACTACTTGTATGTAGTATGCTGTGCTGTGCTGGATAATGCCCAGGCATGGCAACTGTATGCAGGGCAGTCAAATCACTCTGCGTTAACTTATCTTACCGCCGGCTTAGAATTAACTATGTCTGCAACTCTGCCAACCTGCCACCTAACAGAATCAACCGAAACTGCTGTGTCAAATCCAAAGAAATATGCTCAGGTATCACAAACACCAAGCCATTCGGTCATACCCTCTACCCATTTCTTTTTTTCCTTCCCACTCATCCTGAACCAGGTGCCCGGAGTCTTGACAACCCCGGGTAGTAGTAGTAGTGGTAGTACTTAGTATTGCGGCTTTTTTCTTTTCTTATCATAGTGTTTGCTTTCTTTCCCCCCTCACTCAAGGTACCTACCTTTATCCTTCCTATCAAGGGCGTAGTGTCCGAAGTCGGACGCGTGATGAAGCACGATAGATACGTAAATAAGTAGTTAGGTACTTATGTCTTCACCTGAATATACTATATTTCAGGATACCATCATGTCCACCATCACCACTAGTACTACCACACACGTACCTGACTTTAAAGAGAGATATACATATATAATAACCTTAAAATTAAACCTCCCACCGATCACCCAATTGATTAACTGCGTACTTTTAAAACACACGTGCCGAGTGGTTTCACAGCACAACTTACACAACTTACCTAGTACACTTAGTATATTTATTTTTCCGACTCCGAGGAGATATGCCACCGGTTCCGCTTTCGGTTGGTTGTGCAGAGAATGGACTTTAACTACAACTATTTACACAAACACACTTCTGTAGGTAGTAGTTCGCTTCGATCGATCGATTTATCTATCTACTGTATCTTGGTTGGTGGCTCGGTTTGTGGGTTGGTTGATTGATTGATTGATTTTGGATGTTAGGTGCTTGGATTGGATAGACTTGTACTACTTATTTTATGTCGCTGCAGGTGGTAGTAGTAGTAGTAGTAGTAGTAGTAGTAGTAGTAGTAGTAGTAGTAGTAGTAGTTTATCTAGGCGTTCAGGGGAAATGGAATTATAGTTTTAGTTTGTAGTTTATGGTACCCGGGGATTTCGGTGTAGTTAGCCATGGCAGTGTATGTATGCATTAGATATATACGGATTGGGATGATTCACCTAACTTTCCTGGTTATAAGAGCAGATGTGAAAGAGGTGGATATGAAGATTTGCCTCATAGTCTACGGAAATCGACGATTGCATACGTTTCTGGCAAGTCTACGGTGTGGTATGATGCGAAGAACAGAATCCACATTCAACTCCAGCATATCGAAGCGGCGAACGGGAAGAACGAAATAAGGATGGGACAGGTCAAGGAGGGTGAAAAAAATGGAAATCTCATTTCATGAATAGAAGAATTCATTCATTGGGAACCACGACCCGTACATATTACCCCGTCGTGATCAATTTTTTAGCTGCGCCGTTCTTGTTCATTGAAGAGTGAAAGAACCCTAGACCGAGCCAAATTTTTATAGAAATTTTTCCATATTCGCTCCTCTAATCACAAAAAAACATCATTTATTGATATTTATGATGCATTTAGCGCTTGCCGGCAGCCTTCTCCTGAGACTCCTTGAGGACCTTCTTGACGATCTTCTGCTCCTCAATCAGGAAAGCACGGACGATGCGGTCCTTGACGCAACCGGCGCAGCGGGAACCACCGTAGGCGCGGCTGACGTTCTTCTTGGGGCGGGAGATCTGAGCGTACTCGCGGGGGCGGAGAGCGGGAACCTATATCGGTGGAAAAAGGTGATACAATCAGCCATTTTTGCTCTTCCTTCATATCCTTGATATCGCGAATGGTGGTAGTGGTGGTGTTGATTGTTGTCGTTTCCTTGTGCGTTGGTCGAAGCGATCGTCCATGCACGCATACTCTCCATCCATCATCCACTTTCCAGCCCGTTCAATCACACACAACCACCATGACCACCACCACCACCATTCAACATAGATAATTCGGGAGCACTCACACCAGGGAGCTTGATGCCACAGTCACCGCACTTGGGAGCAGTGCCCTTCTTCTTGATGTGAAGGTAACGGAGCTCACCGCCGGGGGTCTTGATGATGCGGACCTGGTTGGACCGCGTGTTGTACCTGAAGAACAAAATCCATCAATACCCTATTCATGAATATCTCGGCGTATATACAAAAATTCAAGAGCAAAGCAGCGGTCCATCGCGTCGAAATCGGACAAATCGTTATTGCACCGTAGCGACCGATAAAGAAAAATTGTTGGTGGGAGTGACAAAAAGGCACGATGGGGGTAGAATCAAGAGGGAAAATTCAAACGTACGGGTTCCGGCGGCGCTGCAGAGAAAAAGAACATTAGATCAGTATTCCATTTCATATAAGATTCAGAGATTCAATATACTCACGTATTGGAGTCTGTTGTTCGCCATTTTGTCTGTCCTTGAACCTCTAGGTCGGTGGTCTCAAGAGATTGGCGGCGGCGTCGTCGGTTGTCGTCGTTGACCTCGTAGAATTCTCGCGGTAATCTGGATTTGTGTGGGTTTCGCTCGGAGCCCTGGGCGGCCGCGCTAGCGCTAATTTGGCGAGAACGCGCTAACCCCAATCTGGACTAGTACCGGCCCGAGCAGAGCCGCCACCTCTTTTCAGACTTGCTTCATCAAACAAGGCAGGAGAAGCAAGAAGAGACTGGAGCAAGCTGTCTTATCACCTTCCCGTCGTGAGAAGGGGATCGTCCAGGAGTGGTTTTATCTTCTTCGGGGCAAAGCTTCATTTCTCCGACGCGATCTCTTTTTATCATTTTGTTTTAATTCCCCCCTCCTCCATTCCGTTTTTTTTTTTCGCGTCGCTGAGCTGCAGTCGATGAGCTCGCGATAAGTCACGACCCGTGCATCTTTTGACGCGACTTAGTCACGAAACTTCCAGCCCGTCTATCAGAGCAGAGAGTGTCCTTCATATATACAACCCATTACCATGGCATCATTGCCTCCCCCTCCGCCTCCGGGCTGGGGTGCGTCGGCGCCGCCGTCAATGCCGTTGGCTCCTCCGCCACCGGGATATCAACCGCCTGCGGATCCGACTGTCGCGAAGTTTGCCCAGAAGAAGAATGAATGGCTGCGGACGCAAAGGAACCGGTTTGGCGAGAAGAGAAAGGGTGGATTTGTCGAAACACAAAAGGCTGATATGCCCCCGGAGCATCTGCGAAAGATCGTTCGGGACATTGGCGATGTGTCGCAAAAGAAGTTCAGCAATGAGAAGCGCAGCTACCTCGGTGCGCTGAAGTTCATGCCCCATGCTGTGTTGAAGTTGCTGGAGAACATGCCCATGCCCTGGGAATCGGCTAGGGAAGTTAAGGTATTGTATCATGTTAATGGTTGCCTTACCTTGGTCAATGAGACTCCTCGTGTCATTGAGCCCGTGTTTCACGCTCAATGGGCTACCATGTGGGTATGCATGCGGCGAGAGAAGAGTGATCGCAGACACTTCAAGAGAATGCGCTTCCCTCCTTTCGACGACGAAGAACCTCCGCTATCGTGGTCGGAAAACATTGAAGATGTGGAGCCGTTGGAACCTATTCAGATGGAGCTTGATGAGTCGGAGGATGCTCCTGTTTATGAATGGTTCTATGATCACCGGCCTCTGCTGGATACTCCCCATGTTAATGGGCCGAGTTACAAGAGCTGGAACTTGACACTTCCGCAGATGGCTACTCTGTATCGACTAAGTCATCAGCTCCTGAGTGACGTCGTCGATCAGAACTACTTCCACATGTTTGACTTGAACAGCTTCTTCACCGCCAAGGCACTGAATGTCGCTATCCCCGGTGGTCCTCGCTTCGAGCCTCTGTACAAGGATATCGACCCCAATGACGAGGACTTCAGCGAATTCAACGCCATCGACCGTATCATCTTCCGCGCCCCTATCCGCACGGAATACCGCGTCGCCTACCCCTTCCTGTACAATACCCTCCCGAGAAGCGTAAAGGTTTCTTGGTACTCTCACCCTCAAGTTGTATATGTCCGCACCGACGACCCTAATCTCCCTGCCTTCTACTTCGACCCCGTCATCAACCCTATCTCCTCCCGGTCCGTCGCGCCGAAGAATATCACTGTCAGCCATGAAGATGAGATCTTTGGTGAAGGAAACAACGAGGACGACTTCGAGCTCCCTGGCGACTTCGAGCCGTTTTTCTCCGATGAAGAATTGTATACACCCGATACCGCGTCCGCCATTGCCCTCTGGTGGGCTCCTCATCCCTTCAACAAGCGCTCCGGCAAGATGGTGCGCGCCCAGGATGTTCCCCTCGTGAAGCAGTGGTATCTGGAGCATTGCCCGCAGGGCCAGCCTGTCAAGGTTCGCGTCTCATACCAGAAGCTGCTTAAGACGTTCGTCCTCAATGAGCTGCACAAGAAGAAGCCCAAAGCCCAGAACAAGCAGAATCTGTTGAAGACTTTGAAGTCGACCAAGTTCTTCCAGCAGACGACGATCGATTGGGTTGAAGCAGGTCTGCAAGTTTGCCGTCAGGGTTTCAACATGCTCAACTTGTTGATCCACCGCAAGAACTTGACCTACCTCCACCTTGACTACAACTTCAACTTGAAGCCCGTCAAGACTTTGACCACCAAGGAGCGAAAGAAGTCTCGTTTCGGAAACGCTTTCCACTTGATGAGAGAAATCCTTCGTCTCACCAAGTTGATCGTCGACGCCCAGGTGCAATATCGGTTGGGTAATATTGATGCCTTCCAGCTGGCTGACGGCATCCTGTATGCTTTCAACCACGTCGGACAGCTTACTGGTATGTACCGTTACAAGTACAAGTTGATGCACCAGATCCGTTCTTGCAAGGATCTTAAGCATTTGATCTACTACCGCTTCAACTCGGGACCTGTGGGTAAGGGTCCTGGATGCGGTTTCTGGGCCCCGGCCTGGCGTGTTTGGCTCTTCTTCATGCGCGGTATCATTCCTCTGCTCGAGAGATGGCTCGGAAACCTGCTGTCCCGTCAGTTCGAGGGTCGCCACAGCAAGGGTGTTGCCAAGACTGTCACCAAGCAGCGTGTGGAGTCTCACTTTGATCTTGAACTCCGTGCATCTGTCATGGCGGATCTCATGGACATGATGCCCGAGGGTATCAAGCAGAACAAGGTCAACACTGTGCTCCAACATCTGTCGGAGGCATGGAGATGCTGGAAGAGTAACATTCCTTGGAAGGTTCCTGGCCTTCCGGCGCCCATTGAGAATATCATTCTCCGTTACGTCAAGAGCAAGGCCGACTGGTGGATTTCCGTCGCTCACTACAACCGTGAACGTATCCGTCGTGGTGCCACCGTCGATAAGACAGTTGCAAAGAAGAACCTTGGTCGACTCACCCGGTTGTGGCTCAAGGCTGAGCAAGAGCGTCAACACAACTACCTTAAGGATGGTCCCTACGTGTCGTCCGAGGAAGCTGTGGCCATCTACACAACCATGGTCCACTGGCTTGAGTCTCGCAAGTTCTCTCCGATTCCCTTCCCCAGTGTTTCTTACAAGCACGACACCAAGATCCTGATCCTTGCTTTGGAGCGTCTGCGTGAATCCTACTCCGTCAAGGGCAGACTCAACCAGAGTCAACGTGAGGAGCTTGCTCTCATCGAACAGGCGTATGATTCTCCTGGAACGACCCTAGCCAGAATCAAGCGTTTCCTCTTGACTCAGCGAGCCTTCAAGGAGGTTGGCATTGATATGAACGACAATTACAGCCATATCAACCCCGTGTACGACGTGGAGCCCATCGAAAAGATCACTGACGCCTACCTCGACCAGTATCTGTGGTACCAGGCAGAGCAGCGCCACTTGTTCCCCGCTTGGATCAAGCCCTCGGATTCTGAGGTGCCCCCCTTGTTGACTTACAAGTGGGCTCAGGGTATCAACAATTTGGACAACGTCTGGGAGACTGCCGATGGCGAGACGAACGTTATGATCGAGACCGAACTTTCCAAGGTCTATGAGAAGATGGATCTTACTTTGTTGAACCGCATGCTTCGCCTTATCATGGACCACAACTTGGCTGACTACATCACTTCCAAGAACAACGTGCAGCTCAGCTACAAGGACATGAACCATACCAACAGCTACGGTTTGATTCGCGGTCTGCAGTTCTCCGGCTTCGTTTTCCAGTACTATGGCCTGATGATCGATTTGCTGCTCCTCGGTCTGCAGAGAGCTAGTGAAATGGCTGGACCCCCTGCAAGCCCCAACGACTTCTTGCAGTTCAGAGACCGTGCTACTGAGACGAAGCACCCTATTCGTCTGTACACGCGTTACGTCGACAAGATCTGGGTCTTCCTTCGATTCTCTGCCGATGAGTCTCGAGACTTGATTCAGCGCTTCTTGACTGAGAACCCCGACCCCAACTTCGAAAATGTCATCGGGTACAAGAACAAGAAGTGCTGGCCTCGTGATTGCCGCATGCGTTTGATGCGTCATGATGTCAACTTGGGTCGCGCTGTTTTCTGGGATCTGAAGAACCGCCTGCCGAGGTCCATCACCACCATCGAATGGGACGACACTTTCGCCAGTGTCTACAGCAAGGACAACCCAAACCTTCTGTTCTCTATGTCCGGATTCGAAGTCCGCATTCTTCCTAAGTGCCGCAACCAAAATGAGGAGTTCTCGGTGAAGGACAGCGTTTGGTCTCTGGTCGATAACTCGACTAAGGAGCGCACAGCTCATGCTTTCCTCCAGGTCACGGAGGAGGATATCCAGAAGTTCAACAACCGGATTCGTCAGATTCTCATGTCGTCCGGTTCGACGACTTTCACTAAGATCGCAAACAAGTGGAACACGGCTTTGATCGCACTCTTCACCTACTACCGTGAAGCTGCTGTATCCACTGTCAACCTTCTGGATACTATCGTCAAGTGCGAAACCAAGATTCAGACCCGCGTCAAGATCGGTCTGAACTCTAAGATGCCTTCGCGTTTCCCTCCCGCCGTTTTCTACACCCCCAAGGAACTGGGAGGTCTGGGTATGATCTCTGGATCCCACATTCTCATCCCGGCTAGCGACAAGCGGTGGTCCAAGCAAACGGATACCGGCATCACCCACTTCCGTGCGGGTATGTCACATGACGAAGAGACCCTGATCCCGAACATCTTCCGGTACATCATCCCCTGGGAAGCTGAGTTCATTGACTCCCAGAGAGTGTGGATGGAGTATTCGCAGAAGCGGCAGGAGGCTCAGCAGCAGAACCGCCGTTTGACGTTGGAGGACTTAGAGGACAGCTGGGACCGTGGTCTTCCCCGTATCAACACCCTGTTCCAGAAGGATCGCAGTACGCTCAGCTTCGACAAGGGTTTCCGTCTTCGCGCTGAATTCAAGCAATACCAGTTGATGAAGAGCAACCCGTTCTGGTGGACCAGTCAGAGACATGACGGAAAGCTGTGGAACTTGAACGCTTACCGTACCGACGTCATCCAGGCCCTTGGTGGTGTCGAAACCATTCTTGAGCACACCCTCTTCAAGGCAACTGCCTTCCCATCATGGGAAGGTCTCTTTTGGGAAAGAGCGAGTGGTTTCGAGGAATCGATGAAATTTAAGAAGCTTACGAATGCCCAAAGATCCGGTTTGAATCAGATCCCCAACCGTCGGTTCACTTTGTGGTGGTCTCCTACTATCAACCGTGCCAATGTATACGTTGGTTTCCAGGTCCAGCTGGATCTTACCGGTATTTTCTTACACGGTAAAATCCCGACCTTGAAGATTTCGTTGATTCAGATCTTCCGTGCCCACTTGTGGCAGAAGATTCACGAGTCCGTCGTTATGGATCTGTGCCAAGTCTTCGATCAGGAGCTTCAGCAGCTGGGTATCGAGACAGTTCAGAAGGAGACTATCCATCCTCGTAAGTCTTACAAGATGAACAGCTCTTGCGCCGACATTCTGCTTTTCGCAACGAACAAGTGGAACGTCACGCGTCCTTCCTTGCTCTTCGATACCAAGGACGTTTATGAGCCAACCACGACAAATAAGTTCTGGCTTGACGTGCAGTTGAGATATGGTGATTATGACTCCCACGACATTGAGAGATATGTTCGTGCCAAGTATCTCGACTACACCACCGACAGCATGAGTATCTATCCTTCGGCTACCGGTTTGATGATCGGCATTGATCTCGCGTACAACCTGTACTCGGCATATGGTCAGTACTTCCCTGGTCTGAAGACCTTGATCCAGCAGGCTATGGCCAAAATCATGAAGGCGAACCCTGCCTTGTATGTCTTGAGAGAACGTATCAGGAAGGGTCTGCAGCTCTATGCTTCGGAAAGCAACCAGGAGTTCCTGAACTCCCAGAACTACTCGGAGCTCTTCAGTCCTCAGATCCAGCTGTTCATTGACGATACCAATGTCTACCGTGTCACCATCCACAAGACCTTCGAAGGTAACCTGACGACCAAGCCCATCAACGGTGCTATCTTTATCTTCAATCCTAGAACCGGACAACTGTTCTTGAAGATCATTCACACAAGTGTCTGGGCTGGACAGAAGCGTCTGGGTCAATTGGCCAAGTGGAAGACTGCAGAAGAAGTGGCGGCTCTCATCCGATCCTTACCTGTAGAGGAGCAGCCGAAGCAGCTGATTGTCACTCGTAAAGGTCTGTTGGATCCTTTGGAAGTCCACCTGCTTGACTTCCCTAACATTTCCATCCGAGCTTCCGAGCTTCAGCTTCCTTTCCAGGCCGCGATGAAGGTTGAGAAGCTTGCGGATATGATTCTCCGGGCAACGGAACCTCAAATGGTTCTCTTTAACCTTTACGATGAGTGGCTGAAGTCAATCTCACCTTACATTGCCTTCTCTCGTTTGATTCTCATTCTAAGAGCCCTCCACGTCAACATTGATAAGGCGAAGATTATCCTCAGACCTGACAAGAGTGTCATAACCCAAGAGCATCATATCTGGCCTTCATTGTCGGATGAGGATTGGATGAAGGTTGAAGTGCAATTGCGTGACTTGATTCTGAACGACTACGGCAAGAAGAACAATGTCAACGTTCAGAGTCTGACGAGTAGTGAAGTCCGCGATATCATCCTCGGTATGGAAATCAGTGCTCCTTCACTTCAACGTCAGCAGGCCGCGGAGATCGAGAAGCAGCAGGAAGAGCAGAAGCAGCTCACGGCTGTTACGACGAAGACGCAGAACGTCCGTGGTGAGGATATTATCGTCACTACCACGTCTCAGTACGAGCAGCAATCGTTTGCTTCCAAGACTGAGTGGCGCACACGGGCAATCGCGACGTCCAACCTTCGCACGAGGTCGAACAATATCTACATTTCGTCGGATGACGTCCGGGAGGAGGGATACACCTACATCATGCCGAAGAACGTCCTCAAGCGCTTCATCACGATTGCAGATTTGCGTGTGCAAGTTGCTGGATACCTGTACGGTACCTCTCCTCCTGATAACGACCAGGTGAAGGAAATTCGCACCATTGTCATGATCCCCCAGGTGGGCAATACGCGTGAGGTGCAGTTGCCGCAGCAGCTGCCCCAGCACGATTATCTCAACAACCTCGAACCTCTGGGTGTTATCCACACCATCTCTGGAAACGAGCCCCCTTACATGTCGGCCATGGATGTTACACAGCATGCTCGTTTGATGAACGCCCACTCCTCCTGGGACAAGAAGACGGTTACCATGACAGTGTCTTTCACCCCTGGATCCGTGTCACTTGCGGCCTGGGGTCTCACGCCCCAAGGCTACAAGTGGGGAGCAGAGAATCGTGACACCACGTCTGATCAACCGCAAGGATTCTCGACCAGCATGGGAGAGAAGTGCCAGCTGTTGCTCAGTGACAAGATTCGCGGATACTTCCTGGTGCCGGAAGACAACGTCTGGAACTACAGCTTCATGGGCAGCTCCTTCGGTGGAGTGGAGAAGCGGCCGGTGTACGTGAAGATCGACACCCCTCTGAGATTCTACGATGAACAGCATCGTCCATTGCACTTCCAGAACTTTGCGGAACTGGAAGATATTTGGGTTGACCGTTCTGATAACTTTGCGTGAGCGATGTGTGGATGGCGTTGGCATGATAATATTTTCTTCTTTTTCTTTTTTTCTCTTTTACACGGACGATTACGCTGTTTTGACATTATCTCCCTATATCTTCAAGCCATGTCTTTTTTCCCCTCTCACAGTTTTCTTTTCTATTGATGTTCGCAGTATACAAAATCCTCTCATGTGTCTTACTATGGTTACATTTTTTGATATCGATGCTTGGCAGCAAGTGAGGGATGAGAAGCCCAACGGAAGTGGAGATCCGGTGGCGGGAACGGGGCAAAAATGGCTGCGCTATGTACAGTAGACATGTAGGTAGCGATGTATGTTTAAGAAGTTAATTACCCAAAGTGGTCATCGGTTTGTAGATGTTATCATGTATACTGTAGGTAGAGTAGAGGAGTCGATATGGAGATCCAACAGGCAGCTAAAATACATTTCCGGGCTTTAGGAGTTTAGGGGATCGACCATGTGGGTGGGCAGCAGAGCTAAAGAGGGCCGGAGGAGACTGTCAATCAATATGGACCATGTGTGAGTCCACTTTGGGCCGGGTAGGTTAATCGTTATTAACCGTCTAGCAATAATAATAATACTATAATTTAAACCGGAATATGCTTAATATCAATAGTCTAGTTTGGTGAGGGGGTTAGTTGACGTGTGTATTTTTTTATTCTATTTTCTCAAGCCGGGGTGGGAAGATCAGTGTTTGTGTCTTGATGGAACTTGACCGAGCAAAAAGACGGAGTACGAAAGAGGGGGTGCTCCTGACTCTTGTCTCTCCCTCACACTCACTACTCACTCACCTACTCTTACTACTCTTCCTCTCCCTCTCCATCCTTCTCCCTCTTGTTCGCCCGTCTGAACCCACCCACCCTACTTAGTACTACTGAACACTTTCCCTCTCACGTTCTCTTTTTTTCTCTCTCTCCCTCTTCTGTGCCGTGCACGGCTGCTAACTAAAAACGCCTCTCACTTCCCCCCTGCTTCACTTTTCCTCCTCCACACCATCCCTTCCGGCTGGATCCGATGTACATTTTCAACGTTCTGGCCCAAGCACTCATCCAGCCAGTTGGTCGGGGCGTCTAAGACATTCGCGTCGGGCTCATTTCATTTCGGTGGTTTGATGCAATGTGATCAACTCGACTGTTTCACCAGTGCCTCATGGCCTGAAATCTCGGGAGGAAAGTCAAATTGCAGAGACCCATCGGAAGAACTCGCCCTGCAACTGCAAGATACGATGGATGGGCTTACGGGGATCCACCTCGACGCCAATCCTGTCCGGAGTACGGAGTACACGCCTACTTGAGACTACTACCCCTACAGGTTAAGGCGATATTCAGTCTGAAGTCTGAGAGGGGTCTTACGTGTTGTGTACAAAGTATAAGCTCCCCAACCCCGTTTTTCCCTTTTTTATTTATTTGTTGGTTCTTTTTAATTTTCCCTTCTTGTCTTCCTGCCTGTGTCCATGATCTATCATCCGTGATGCTCATTGATCGATCCAGCAGGACAATAATTAGCAATCAGCCGGATGCTTAAATCGTAACTCACTCTATGGAGTAGCTTTCTCTCCATCTCAACCGCTATGACACGGTGGTGGCTCTCGGGGCCTCTCTTTCTCACCTTAACAGCAAACAGCTCGAGCTACTGCTACTACTTTCACCCGCCCACGGCCTATCATATTATAAAAAAGGAAATAAGGAAAATGAAAAAATGAACTAAATCATTAGACACATTCATGACAACCCACCTCTCACATATTTTACCCACGCGCTAAGCTCCCGGCCTCCGACCGTTCTCGGGGGCTTGTGTCCACGAGGGTGACCTAGAATCAAGAGCAAATAAGGTTGACAGGAAGGCTCCTGCTCTCATCAGAAGGGTCAAACTTGCTCCCCTTTGACAAGGATGGCTTTCCAGTCCAGCTTCGTCTGACCTCACAACCCAAGGGGGCCGGAGACCCAAAAAGAACGAAAAAGAAAAGAAAATAAAATTAAGTACAAGAAAAAAAAGTGAGGCCAGGCAGAAAAGGGGAACCTAGACGTGGGTACGGTTTAGGCTCGAGCCTGACCCGCGATCATTTTTTTTCTTCCTCCTGCGCGATAGAGTCGTATTCTTAGTCGATGGGAGTCACCGCACATCGTTCATGCGCGATTGAGGAGTCGTGATGTGCGCGTGCGCGCTCTCTTTCTTGACTCCCTCACTGGTGTCGTGTTGGTTTGGCTTCCCGCGCCCGTTCCAGGCTACGGGATTTTTATATACACTATCCAGACCAGGGTCGTTGCTCCATTTCCCTCTCGAGAAACAAAGGCTCGGCCGGAACTCCCTGCTTAGCATGATGGCCCACCTCCGAGCAAGCTAGCACCCTCCCGCTAGTCATTCCAATCACCTTTTCCAGGTGGATGTCTCGCCGACGACCGTTCTCTACCCGCCATTGGCGTATTCGCTGAGTGGAGTTGCTGCGTCGACGTACGACGGTCCTTGTTCTGACAGGGGGCGAATTCCTGAGCGAGTTAGGAGCAGACCAGCACAACAGGTTTGACTCCCTTGACCCGAGTCCACCGACTCGCTCGTCTCATTCACGTTCGTATCCAATAAGTTAACTTCAGATTATTCCTGGCCTACGTATGGGTTTGGGCTTGGATCTCCCCCCCGCTTCTGCGTTTGCTCGGGGTTGGAGACGGTAGAGCCCCGAAGGAAGGGAGAGGGGCAGAAAGAGGAGAGGGAGTGATGGATTGATTGATGAATGGAGGGCGACTCTTTGTCTACCTGAGCTTTGGCTGGTTCGCCGTGTTTCAAACTTGTACACAGTATCTCCCGACTACTGCCCTAATTTCCTCCTCTACGGCAGTCACTGCCATGCCTTGGCAATCACCAGACGGGCCGGCGGAAGGCAAATGGTAGCCTCATCCTTCGTCCTGCTGGCATCCATGACCGTTGTCCCCTCTGGGTCCCTCTGCAAGCTAAGCTTGACTGGAACGCAGATCCGTCAAATGGGCGATTTCTTCTGCCAGCCCACCTGCACCTTTCTGATTTGGGTTATATGGAGTGTCTCCGTGTCTCGTCAATTTTACCCCATGGATTCTGACAGCTTATTTATTATGATTTGCCCTTTCCAGAACCTTTCATCGGCCGTCTACGCTGCCGTATATATCCTCTAACACTTACCCTATCACTGCTCTGCACGGGACTTTTACATGCAGCTGGAAGCAGCATCCCGGCATCAACCTCCACTTGTTCTTCCCCGTTAGATCCTGCATCTCAAACGACGGAGGGATACGGGCTGCAAGCCTATCTGCGGAGTTTCTGGCATGAGAATCAGACCTCCGACTTCTCTCAGTAGATTTGGTTGGGCCGGGCCTCTTGTCGGTGCGTCTGGACTCTGGTGAAGATTACCGGTCTTTTTCGGGACTTCCCAGCTGGCGCGCTCATCACTGACCCGGTGAGTAGTACTAGTAAGCCATCTATCCATCCCTTTCACCCAGTGATTCTTTCCCTTTCCCATGGTGGCCAGACCCTGTGTCGCCTCTAGCTTCCTCTTTCAATCTCCTTCTCCTCTGTTTCTTCTCTCCGTTCTCTCTGCCGTTGTTTTTCAAATGTGTTCGATGTCCTGCGACCTGACTTCGCTACTCTCTTCCTTCCTGCACCCTGGGATGAGCGATCGTCGTGTCTTGACGTTGCTGTCGAGTCAATCAATCCATGACCTATAATTCTGACGACCAGACAGTATCGCGCCTCACGCTCTGAAAGCCAACGGTCTATATCCCAATCTTCCAGGCTTCAGAAAGTCGGTCTGTACATGGCCAAAGCTTTGATCCTTACTTCAACCCAGAGGATTTCACGATCTGTCACTCTTCGCTTCATCGGACGAACTCCGACAGTCAGCCAGTCTATCTCGTGACGGCCTTTTCCGTCAAGATAGCACCTTCGACCTCCTTCCTTTTCTTCCCCCTTATTTTTCTAGAGCCAGTCAGTAGCCTGCCAGGGCTGTTAGGCTCTAGCGGCGCAGATGTATGTCCGCGACGCTGGCGGATCCGTATCGAGAGTATGCTATTGATTATTCTCAACATGCTACCTGCAAACCTGAGGAACACGCAGGCACGCTTGTTTACCACGCACAGCAGCCGCATCTCCAGCATCACAAGCAGCCCGAGCCTCCATTCTCTCAGGGGGCCTCTCATAGCACGACGGCATTTGAGCAACATCATGCGAACGCGACCGTGTTGTCAACAGCCACTCCGCAACAAACAGTCCATGATATCTCGCAAAGCGTTGTCCTTGGCCCGCCCCAAATGCTCCCACGACACCTTCCAGTGCAGTATCCACCTGCCAGCTTCGAAATCCCGCCTATTCAGCGCGAGAAGAAACGCCCTCATTCGGAGACCGAAGAGGATGGGAACCCCGACCATGGCCTGCGGCCACAGCTATCAGTCCTCTCAGCAGATGCCCCTCACGAACCCTCGCATTCTCCCGAGATGCTCTTCGGTGTCCATGGTACATCATCTCAGCAGCATCCCATGTCAAACCATGGATTTGGACCCACGGACTCTGTGGCCCTGCCGCAACATCACCATCACCATCGACTCCCGCCCCATGCAGCGCTGCGCGCCCCGGGGCGTCATGGAGTGAATGTGGAATCGCCTCCTCTGCCCTCGGGTCCGCCGAGTGTGGTGGGCCAGCCTGGGATGCCGGATCCAGCTCCCAGGCCCCGAGGTCCAAAACTGAAGTTTACTCCTGAAGAAGACGCTCTACTGGTGGAGCTGAAGGAAAACAAAAACTTGACATGGAAGCAAATTGCAGACTTCTTCCCGGGCCGAACAAGCGGCACCTTGCAAGTCCGATACTGCACCAAGCTGAAGGCCAAGGATGTGGCTTGGAGTGACGAAATGGTTCGAATTCCCCTGGTGCATTTCTACGTCTTTCTCACATGCTAATGAAGGGAATAGGTACAAAGGCTGCAACGGGCAATGCACGAATACGAGAACGATCGGTGGCGTATCATTGCAGGGAAGGTTGGAAATGGCTTCACCCCAGCTGCTTGTCGCGAGAAGGCTATGCAACTCCAGTAAAGGCTTGGGGAATTTCTCATTCATATCTACTGTCGCCAGATTCGACCTTTTTTGGACCCTCTGATCTCCCTACTCTCCATTTTGGTTCAAATGTCGGGATTCCGATAGGGCTGGTGGTGCGGGCCTGTTGTAGGCACGGGAGGATGATCAGCATAACTCTGATATACTATAGGGACGGTTGATGTAAGGTATTTAGTGATGTATGATAATTCATTTTAGCCCGGGGAACATATGGCGCCGGCATTTGTTCGTTCGCAATGAACCGACACTAGCGTCCGCTCTCGCACTTTAGCACCGGCAGATCCCGGGCTGAACGCGGCCATTGCTCGGCCGGGGGCATGTGTTCTTCATCTACGGCAGACCGCAGAAAACCACTTGCGCAGACAGTAGACCCTAAGCCCTAAGCCGGATGCCCAATTGAGCAGGTATGCGGACTAGGTCATTGCGGGCAGCCGTAGAAGCTCCGCAACCAATCAATCCCCGGCGCTGACTAAGGGCAGGCGACCACGGGCCGAAGCGGCTTCAAACTCACCTCAACCTCCAAACTCCCTCATCTCCAAACGTCCTTGCCTTGTCTGCCGTCATTGCAACCCACCCACCAGGACAATGTTCCTCCAACGCACAGCCTTCGCCCTCGCCAGGCGCACCCCTACCCGGGCTCTCGCTGCCCGTCCCTTTTCTTCCTCCGTCACCCGCTGTACGTGACCCTCATCGTCAGATCAAAAGACCGCCTCTTCTGCACCGCAGCAGTGGCAGCCGTCCCTTTTCTCCCGCGCTCCCATGGTCTCTATATGGGCCAATTGCACGGGATTGCAGACGTCGGTTCTGGATATGCGAGCTAACATGCCATTGCTGCTCCTATAGTCAACGCCAAGAAGTATGAGGTGAAGCAGGAGGGCAAGATCCTTCCCTTCGATGGTGAGTTGGCACCACACCCACTCCTACACGAGTCAATTGTCCCTACGGATACACTTGCAAGATAGCAATTGCAACTTGTACTGCGAGTGAGGGTTACAATTGGGCATCTTATGCGGGGTTTCCGGCACTGGGGACATTTGATAGCCGGCTACTTGCATCTTCTCGATACTTTGACACATGGTTGACATCATACTGATTGTGCGCTTTTTTCCTGAATAGAGATCAAGACCGAGGACGACCTCATCCCCCCGGGTGCTAAGGCCGGTACCGTCCCCGTCGATATCGAGCACGCCACTGGTCTCGAGCGTCTCGAACTCGTCGGAAAGATGCAGGGCATTGACATCTTCGACATGCGTCCCCTCGATGCCTCCCGCAAGGGTATGTCATACACTATCTCCGCTCTTTGCGGTGGCTTTTGGAGCCTTGAATAGGTGATTTGCGAGGGTGGGCACTGATATAACTCTATATAGGAACCCTTGAGGACCCCATCATCGTCAACGGTGCTGGTGACGAGCAGTACGCTGGTTGCACTGGTTTCCCCGCCGACTCTCACCAGGTCAACTGGTTGACTGTAAGCCGATATCTTCCGTGCTGTTTATCTTCTGTGATAGCATGATCCCTAATCAAGCCACAATGCAGGTCTCCCGTGACCGCCCCATCGAGCGCTGCGGCGAGTGCGGTAACGTTGTCAAGCTCAACTATGTCGGCCCCTTGGAGGACCCCCACGCTCGTAAGTGACTTCCCATCAATCCCGGCCCAATCTATGGCCATCATTCGGTGTGTGCAATGTACTAATTGCTCCCTATCCAGACGACCACGACCACGGTCACGGCCACCCCCCTCACGAGGAGCCCAAGACCTTCGCCGACTTCGTCAAGCCTGAGTACTGGTACCGGTAAATACAATGTACTACTACAATGAATGGAGCGATTGTCCTTTTTTTCTTTTTCCCCCCTTCCCTACTTAGGTGCTACTTCTTCGATCCGGAGCAAAGAGAAACAATGGAGTGAAGCGAGATATTAGAGAGAAGAGACAATCCGACATATAATCTGTATGTGTACATGCGCGAGGCAGGGGGTGTTCTGGCAAGACAAGTCACAAAAGAGAGAGAGATGGGGGGCGCCGGCTTTCTGTACAAGATTACATCGGGATGAACTATTAGTTGTGTGTGTATCGTTTGAAACCAATACTGTTGTATACTTTTGCCAATTCCTTTCCCTTTTACTAGACATCCTTCTTTGCTTTACTGTAGGAGAACTATTGTCGTCGGAGTCTTATATCACCTCAAACCCGAACGATATATCACTTGGGAGGTATATGATACTACGTATTCCTCACTACGGAGTACTCTCAGCACTACCATAACATATAGAACACCGCTACTCCTCCTAATGAGCAATTTCAAAGAAAACAAGTCAACAAACCCCAGGTACATACATACATACTAGTGATTACCCATGGCTTGAAAGAAACCAGACTACCTACCTACCTACCTAACTAGCTATAGTGCGGTGTGGTGCAAGTGAGCTGATCAAGCGATTACTTAGTTTACGTGCGGGTGGCATGATGTCCCGGAACAGCGGAAACTAACGGAAAGAAGGAAATATTAGCCGTATCACGTGGTATGTAAAAACTAGTAGTAGCTAGCTCCTCGAGGGATTCTTTACTTGCCTAATTAGGTAGGAGGGAAGAGTAACCTAAGCCTGCCCGTAGGCAGTGGTAAGTAGTGTACGTAGTATGATGGGGGGATGGAGGTGCTAGGTACTACGTATTGCTTACTTCGTAGGATGTACTAGTTTGGTTTTTTTCGGGGGGGTTTACTTTAGTAAAGGAATTGGAGGTGTTGGGTGGTGTTTCTCCCTTGGAATTTAGTGTGATGATGAGTGGCTACTATTAGGTTAAAGAGGATAGTAGTAACGATGAAATGAACTTTTCGTAGTACTAGTAGTGCAATCTGATGTACATTTCTTTTTGGTAGAGTGACAATGACGATGATGTCTGACACTCGGTATAGTACTATGATATAATATAGTACATGAACAGTTTTGGATATACCCTACAAGGTCAATGACCCATTTGTAGGGCGTTTTGGCAATGTTGAATTGAAAAATTGTGCTCTTTTTTGAGCAGCCTAATGGCATTACCGCCAGCTCACCGTCCGAAGTAACGAAGTTCGGCATATCGAAGAGGCGGATAGACCACACATGTCCATGAAAAAGCAACGTAGGTGCCCATCTATATATAGTAGTTAGTATGTGAAGCAATCAAAAATGTGTTTGTCATCAGGTCTGCTTACATCCGCGCCATATTCACCCACCAATCGCGCCAAAGGCCCGATATACCACACCTGCGCCATGCATAGGATTGCACCTGCCCAACCGATCAAGAAGGCGATGAAAGCGGAAATGCCCAAGGGCAGCTTGGATGGGTCGTTCCAAACGTGCCAGTTGTATCCGCTGCGGGCGCGGAAGATAAAGCGGTCTTCTAGGATGATGGCTATCCAAATGGCGACCCAGTAACCCATGAGCGCGAGGAAGTTGGTGAAGATGTCGGAGAGATTGCTTCGGCCCGCTAGAGCGCACACGGTGTAGATGATAACTCCGATGGCGTTCCAGATGGCTCTGGGCACCTTTTCGGCATATCGTCCGAGGATCTGGAAATCTACGCCAGCTGAGTACGTGGGTGGGATGGTGTTGGCAATGAGACCAAGGGCAACGACGACGGCGCAAAACTTGCCGAATCCGTTTAGGGGGCTGAACCCTTCGACGATAAGTGCTCCGGCACCGTCAGCGTATGCGCTGCTGTATGCTGGGTCGGAGGTGATGCCCGATGCGAGACCGATGCCGACGAGGAAAGCCATGGTGAAAGAGGTCATCAGGCCGCCCAAGGAGAGGAAAAAGAGAGATGTCCTCGAGGTATTCTGAGGATAATAGACAAAAAAGTCCGCTGCCAGCGGTGCATATGTAATTGCAGCACTGAGACAAAGCGAGAAGAAGGATAGACTGCGAGGGTGGCATGTAAGCATGGGTTTATCTAATAGTTTGAAGTGGATTTACCGGTTGCCGGCTACTGTGCGAGCGTCGCCAGTCGATTGTGTGGACAAGTCGTATTTCGTCCCTGACATACCGAACAGTATGCAAACAACAATAAGCTGAGGGAGAAAGGCAAATCTGGTCCCGTCAGTCGCAGAGATTTACAACTCTGATCGATCATACATACCGCTCGTAGTAATGAAAAATCTGAATGCCGAAAGTGGCTATGACCCAACTGATGATGGCGATGATCACGATGCCTTCATACGGTCAATAACCATACATCGATAGCCTGAAACACTGCCAACTTACCCACAGCAACCGTCATGTTTCCATGCGGTGAAACGGCAGACAAGATCTGGCCGCCAACCACACAGTCGATCAAGCCATATCCCAGCATCTGGATCAGGTTCAAGATGACGATAAGTTTACTGGGCCACCAACCCATTGAATAGCGTCCGAATGCCTAAGAATATAGTACTTAGCCAGCTTTCTCTTTATTGGACAGTGTGAAAGCATACCATGGTCCGAATACCGGATATAGGGCCCCATGTGGCCATCCACGAAGACACGATGGCACCGACCAGAGCACCGAATACTCCGCATAGAGCCGAGTCAAGGAAACTCAATCCATACGTAGCAGGTCCTAGCATACCCAGTGTGATGTTGTTGGCCGCCAGATTGATCGAGACCCAAAGCAAGAAAGCCTGCAGGTAGGAAACCCAAGTCAACTTGGACATCCGTTCATGCTCCTGCACCCGCTCTATACCACGAGCTTCCAAATTATATTCGACGAGCTGCTGTTCAAATCGTCTAAGATATGCAGCCATTCTCGAAGAGGCAAACGGCCCCCCCGGCTGCCTCTGGGCTCTTTTCTCGACATTTTCGGTGGGAGGAGAAGTATCTTCTGTTGAACGGATTCTTGAAATTTCCTTCTCATAGGGAGACCCTAGGGTGGGCACAGTTTGCGGCGAAGACATCCTGACGCACAATGTCAGTTACATGACTGGAGAAGAGGTGGGGTATAAAGAGATGAAAAGCGCGCATGAGTCCTTTCGCTGGAATTATCCAGATCAAGTTCAACCGTATAATCTCAGATCAACAAACGGGAGCCATCACAGTATCCGGAAAGTTAAGCAACCCTCCAGATATTAGCCCGGATAGTGTGTGTGACATCCAGTTGTTGAACACCGGTCTTCATGCAGGCACGCTACCTAGATACCTTGATCGACAGACAAAACCACGCTACTCGTCTTCATGATAGCCGTCCCTTGCATAAGGTTTCTGTAGGAAGGCGGGAGAGCTGTACTTGTTGCGATTGCACTGGATTCGTCGTGGCGATTACACCTGGTGGAACACATACGCCAATCGCACGTCAGTCAAACTTCTTCTGACAGTTTTTGAGAGATCGTAATGAATCTCGTTGTTTCTTCTCTTCGAAAGGAATTTACCAATTCTGATCAATGCTATGCAGAAATCCCACACCAATCGCAGTCGTGCAAAATGCTAGCCAGTAATCTGACAGTAAGATGGAACGATTGCAGTTCCGGCGAGTGTAAGTGGAGCGGGTAGAAGATTCCACTCTGAGGCGATAAAATCGTAATCTGCCGCGGGGAGATTCGGTTTCCCAGGCGGGCGGATCTCCTCCGCTTTTCATCTTCCCCGACTTCGGATATCGTACTACTATCTATCCCACAACTACTCCCATTCGCCCTGATCGGCTTGTGCCGGCTACTGTTGAGCAACTAGCACTGAGTAGCATATAATGCTGACTACCTCGTCTACATGCAGAATAACAAGTCCGACTTCAGCAACAACTCATATTGGTGACCACTACATGCTGGGACACCGAGAGTAAGCGTCTACTATGTTTCCTTCTATAGACAGATTGAAAATCTTACAGCAAGCTTCAACGTGTTGTTGGGTGCGCGACAGGATTGATTCCCAGGGTGCGCTGCCCCCGCGGCGAGAAGCTGCTGCGAAGACCCGTCAGGGAGTTACGCGAAACGAACAGTGGTATTCACCCAGGATATGAGGGGACAAGGAACAAGACGAAATAACCAGAAGAGGCGCTTGTAAGAAAGAAAGAAGTGGGAAATAGTCGACCAGATGGGACCAGCAGAACGTAAAATGAAAGACGCAAGCCAACTCCGATAACCCTTCGCCCGATACTTTGCAAATTGTGGCTAACATCGAACATTGCGCTGACATCTTCAGCCTAAAGCATTGTGAATTCAAAACTCATGCCCATCGTCGATTCGTTACATGTGCGGATGACGATGCATTGGTCATCACGTCGTCAAGAGTTCGTAGGAAATCTAAAGGTCCTTGAAATGTTCTTTCGCATATTGTTCGCACGCCTGAATCACCCATGTCAACAATCCAGCAAGGCATCTACAAGGCCCGGAGGTATTACCTTGGCTGGCTTTCCGACTTTCAGTCCAATCGCCTTCCATTTATTTGCATCGTATTCCCTAATCGCTTCTCGGAGTGCTACGGACTGTCCTTGGTTCAGCATCGCTTGACAAACAAAGTCGTGCGTGAAGGGTCATTACCTCGTCTTCAGCAAATTCGGCATAGTGCATGTCCTATCGTGGCATAAGTATCTGCATCCAGTCTTCGGGACAGAGCGATTAGAATCTGCTTACTTTGTACCAATGTTTCTTGACGCTGCCTTCGGTCCGGGCAGGGAATGTCTGTAGCACCCGGGAAATTCAGGTCAGCATGCGTGACGTAGTGAAGGGTACTGAAGCAGGGTAGCTTTATGCACCTTGGCAATCTCGCTCCAGGTGCGACCCGCGTCGCGCATGGTCTTCAGCCTCTGCTCTTCCTCAGCAGTCCAGGGAGTGTTGGTCCTCCCCTTCTTCTTAGGGGCAGGCTCCGATCCCCCAGGCCCTTGCTCGTGCGCAGTTTCTCCCGTCGCCGGAGCCGCGCCTGGCGCCGCCATGGTAGCCGCAGGGCCTGACTGGGGAGAAGCACGGCGTTTGCGCGGATTCTGGGGAGGAATCTGAGTTTGGGGCATAGGAATGCCCTCGAACGAAGGCACTCTTGAAAAGGGATTGACTTGTTGTTGAGCAATCAGGTGTGATGGTGCGTTGGCAGAGATGGAAGTCTTGATTCGCTTAGATGTTGGAGGGGACCTGTAGTAGAGGAACAGGCGAAAGGCGCCGGTGTCAGAGATGAGCCCACGACACGAGAAAAATGGGGAGATAAAGAAGAAGTGAATGCAAGGCCAGAACGATAATCGCAATAATAATAGAACGAGCCAGTCACTTTGTCAATGTCAAGTCGGGGGAAACGGGCAGGACAGTGAATTAGCCGAAAGCGGGAACAGATACAAACACATAGTAGATAAATTACAAGAGAAACACTCCAAGTGAAGCACATGACCCAAGGGGGCGGGCGTGAGGTATCTCAAGATCAAGTATATATGGAAGGACAGCTGCCGCCGACGCTGCGCAGTCCCAGAGGCCAGCTTCACCTTCAGGTTGGGGAGGACGAGGAGGGACTTACGACATGGCTGATGATACGCAGTTATCCCAATCACGTTCTGTCGATTCATCTGTAGGTACACATGCTTATGAGATTAGCAAATCTGCTACTCAAGGAACGCTCCGTGGAGATTGGCCGGTCAGGTTCAGGGAAGCGAGCGCTTGGTTACACCAAAGTGACGATGACACCGGCGCATCATACGGCGTGGCAGTAGCGCCGCAGGGAATGAGGTAGATGACGGGAAAAGAAGGAAAGAGTCGGAAAGATTGTTACATGCATATATGAAGTCGGAATGGTAGCGAGGGAAAGTCAAAGGACAAGAGAGAGAGGGAGGGAGGGAGGGGGAGTTGGAGTGAGGCAACTCAGGTGAATGGGCGATGAGGAGGGCAGTGAAGAGTGAGGGGAGGGGAAAGGGGGGGAGGGGAAAGGAGAGGGGAAAAGATAGTAAGTATAAACAGGCTTAGGCACAATCACAGGAAGACCTTTCTAGCATCTTAGGATACAGAGGCTGGACATAGTACGGAGTACTGGAGATGCGATGATAAGACGTTCTGGTCAGGACAAGTGGAGATGGAGACCGACTGAGAGTGTAAAGAGAGGCTTACTGGTCAAAGTTCATGGTTTGGAAAAGAGTCTCGGGTTTTTTCTGATAGGCAGGATGATCTGGTAGTGGCGGTAGTAGTAGTAGCAATAGTCGTAGCGAAGTAGTAGCGAAGTAGTGGTGGTGGTGGTGGTGGTGGTCGTTGTAGTAGTAAGTAGGAGGGAGTAGATCAGGGTCGAATTGGCAGGTCAAGGTCAGTAAGGATCAGTTCAAGAGGATTCAATCTGTCCCCCTCGGTCAGGTAATAGTAGTAGTAATAGTAGTGATAGCCAAGTAGTAAGGAAGTAGACTGAATTGAATTGTCTGATAAAATAATCAAAAAAGAAGTGGTCGTAGTCAGAGCAACAACCACTCGGTCAGTCAGTCAGTAGTAGGCAAGTAAGGTCTCCAGTAGGGCAGAAAAAGCCACCGTAGGTAATACTTTGGGTTGTGCTTTACAGTATACCAATTCCCGTAAATAAAAACAAATGGAAATGGAAAATATAATGATAGTACAAGACTAAGGGAACCCTCGGGAGTGGCAAGAGAGAAAGGATCCGGGAAAGAGGAACAAGAGGGAAAGAGGAAGAAGAGAAAGAAGCGGATGGGAAAACCGACAGGACTCGCAAAGCCTCTTCCTTCTCTTCTCTTCATTTCTGACTAGTACTGCGGAGGGGAGGGGGAACAGACAGAACAATTCGATTCGAATCCACCCCAAGGCTAAAGGGAGTGCAGCGTCTCGCCAATCCCGCGTCCTCCGAGGCCTGCTTGCTTTTTCCTCCTCATCAGCGACGAGGCATCAGATTCCCTCCTGCCACCTCCTCCGGCTTCCTACTCGTCCTGCCTACCGGAACTACTGGAGACGGTGGACTCTCGTACATGGACCACTTCTGCACACCATCCACGATAGGCCCGTCCTTTTCCTAAAAAAGAAAGCTGCCTGAATGGAAGGATGGCCCGGTGGTTTCGCTTCTTCTATCTACTACTTCTTCTTCGCCTTTGCGTAGGCCGAGGACATCCGCCGATTATCTAGATTATCTTCCCCTCATTCCCTCCTGGGTCAATGCGATACATACACTCGACACCTTGGCTCAATCATCATCACCGCCACCATCACACCCATGTTCTCACAACGCCAGCCAGATGAGATACACACCCCCCAGCGTCCTTCTACCGATACCCTATCCTTGTATTTACACCTACGATGAGCTTTCCCGTCTTCCCAATTTCTCCCGACCGGTGACTCAAGGTTGATTTTTCATAGTCATTAGGCTTCCATCTCACAAGCCAGCTTCAACACTTGGTCAGCCACGGATCCAGGCAAGAATGCCCGTTCCGTGAACAAAACGAACAGCGATGATGGTGGTGGCGGCAATCTGACCATAGAACCCGCCGTCCTTGGACAGCTTGACCAGGTCAACCTGGTGATGCTGCAGTATTTAGTAGAACCAAGCAGGTTGGCGAGGCCAATGAGGGGTCCTAGACACCCCGATGACTGCGAGGCAGCTTACAACATGAAACGGACGTCGCCAGCTGCAATCTCGGGCCTTGGCAGTCCAGAGATGAAGTAAAAAGCAAACCTCGAGGGACCATGGATCCGGATCTTTGCTGTTTACGTGGGTGCCAGGTTCACTTTTCCTCCCAATGAAATGGCCTGATGGGAGACAATGAGAGCGGGGTAAAGGACCGCTACCTCCTCCTCCCCCCATCGACCGTTGCTTTTAGTCTAGTCCACTCTTCCCGCTTCATATGACGAGTGCAGGGCTTTGCGGGACCCATGATGCAAGATCGGTTTCTCTTCAAATTTAAATCGTTCCAGGTAACTTACCAGAGTAGGCTGCTTGCGCCCCCTAGAAACGAGCTTCTCTCATCCATCCTTCGCCCGCTTCCAAGCACCTTATCTGTACCCTCCTAGGCTGGTTTGAAAGGTTCTAGATAGGCCCGTGAACCGTTTTATGGAACCCTGTGAGTCCGTCCCGAGCACGGTCCCCCCGGTGCGCCTATCGTTCCGATGACAGAGCTTACTGTCCTGCCCGCCATTCTCGCTATCCTTCACCTTGCAGGCCAAATGTCGATGGTCTTCCACTTCGGGCATATACTGTTTCCAGTGACTGCGTTGGTACCAGTTGAAGTTCCATGTACAACAGACTACTAATGCAGTGGCGTATGCAACTGAAGGTAGGATAATAGAACCGACATTCGCTTTGCAGTCGAACAATGCAACCTCCTAAGCTGTATCAGCTTGTCTGAGTGGCTCTTGCATATGATACGCAATAACTAGGCTGCGAGACTGAAATGACAGATGGCGATGGCGTACACGTGGTGGATCACAGCATGATTGGACTATGCCAAATGCAGCTATGTACAAAGTCGTCATTTCAAGTGCAGGTAGTTCTTAGAGTGTCAATATCGCCTCGAATATTTGAGCTACTTACAAGGGAAGAACAATGTAGTGACATGTTTAGGTTTGAGAACTCTTTTGAGATCTCGAGATAGGGTAAGCTTTCCGATGGCCCTATCTTGGTCGGCGAAAGAGCCTATTCGAGGTAGTAGCCTTAATGGTACAATTAGCGCTCGCAAGAAGACTTTTCCAGAAGAGGGTTACCCTTCAACTAGCCAGAAAAGAAGTGGGTCACGAATTAAGGCAATGTGGCGCATGCTCAACTTTATCTTCTTGGTTTCGGTTACCTCCATCTGGTGAACAGAGCTTCATCTAAACTTAGGTGATCTACTAGCCGAAGGTGCAAATTATACTAGAAAGTCAATACACTAGAGACACGCTACAAAATTCTCTATGATAGCAAACGCTTCTTGCTTGGAATGGTCTAACGAGGTGCCTACGCCGGAATTAGACAAGTTGCGAATCCTCTGTTCCAATGAATTCGGTACCAGCTTTTGCTTCGAGATACCATTGGGATAGGCATTCTTTAACGACAGACAGATATGACCTGTTTACAATTCGGTAGGCTTACCGACTGAGAAACTAGAGACCCTATCCAGACTCTGCTACTATCCACTCGAGTTGTAAGAAATATATACTACAATCTAAAATCCTTTAACTTTGAAATCGTAATGCATACACAAAATACGCTACTATACGCCTCAAAATTACACTGAGAAAATATACTAAACAGTGACTCTAAGCACAGACTCTGCAATTAAAGCCAAGTACTTCCTCAAAGCTATAGATTGGGAACCAATCCTCAGTTCCTCATGTCTTCTCCGCTTATCCCATACATCTCCACTCAATCAAGCAACCAACCAATGATGTTATCTTTCTCTTCGCTTTGAACCATACTAAATATGCATTAAACCTTCACCGGCAGCTTCATCCTGTATTCAGCCGCAATAGCAGCAGAACTTTTGAACTTGCGACTTGTTCCGTATGGAGTATTTTCAGTGTGTCGGGGGCCACAGCCTTCATCTTCAATAAGATCATGACTACAGCTGGATAATTGTGAAGAGAATGTTAATATTTATAGGTAGATATCTCTCAGGAAAGGAGAGTTCAGAGTTTCAGCTCACAGATCCAGATAATGCCGAAGTTTGCGGCGGACTACTGCTCATAACTAAATTCGACCAATACTCCACACGGTCGATCAACAATCTTTAATTCAGCTATCTCAACATTCTGCCCCGATCCATTCTTACTAGCTTCAGTGTCTCTTCCTAAAAGATGGATGAGACGAGGTGACTTCACGTACAAGCTAGTATCAAGAAGTGTTCTACACACACTATGGAAGCCTAGGAGCACAAACTGGTGCGTAAACTTCTCTGTCCATTACGAGGTTTGCCTATCACTAGATCTGGAGAGCCCACAAGGGCGGGTACTGAGATATCTTAGTGAATAGCCAGTCGTTCTTCTGAGTTTCATGTGAGCTGAAATGTGAAGTTAGGCGACAAAGCAAGGAAAGCATAGAACCAGCACTCGGCTATACCATTCGGGATTCACTAGCCGTTGTATCCAGGGCAAGAGTGCCAAAATCTGATACTCTCAAGAATCATTTGACAATATTTCCCATTCACATGATTATCCCTTCCCTTGCTTGCGCCGGTTCTCTAATCCTCTTCACACCTTTGGTGCTCTACCATGCCAGTAGTATAAAGCCGTTGGACTGTTTAAAGAGCACCAGCCCCGACCGTCAATGACTCTATGAGCTTAGAAGTTTCCGACATGATAATCGCGGCGTTCTACTCCATACGCGGTGGCACCTTTACCCTGCTCTTCGTCTCCTATACACAGCATACGCAGCGTGCGAATAGAGTGGCATCGAGCTAAATACTGCTGCCCGCGTAAGCAAGTCACAATCATTGGTCTGCTAGCTACCTGGGATGAGAAGGCATTTGAATATACAAGCTTGCAACAATATCTACTCGTCAGTGTCGGTTTGGGTATGACCAGGCTGGCGCAATGGTCTGTCGAGACCATTCACCACGGAGCTAGAAATGCGCCTTAACTCCCTTGGCTCCGAGGCAGCTATGGGCAAAGGAGTGCATTATCGAAAAGAGAATAGAGGTTCAATTAGCCGCCAACCCACAGTATCTACGGCAAGCATTCATCAACTGGATTTGCACAGTTGATGGCAGACTAAAAGTTAGGGAGGGGTCTGTAGTGGCCTGAAGTGAGTAAGAAGAATTCGCTTCGTATCCCCTAGCTTATTCTCTGCCAATCATTGTTATAGGGGATTCTCTTATGGAAGAAGCGGGGTTAACTCTTAACAGTTGATAGGCATTGCCATGGAGGTCTAAACAGCTTTGAGGCGTCCCGGCGCTGTTCGATATCATGTTACTAGATGGTCTACTGTTTGCTGGGCAACTTTAACAAAGCCTACAGGTAGAACCTAGCATGAACTGCTTCACCCAAGCCAGCGGTGTCTTGTACCATCGCCTTCTGATAGAACAGATATAAAGGTGGACAGGGCATCCTGACGTCATCAAGGAGAGATAACTACGCGGTGACACAAGCGTCCACTGTACGCCGGTGGTCACGTGAGGAACACGCGGCACGGGGCCCCCAGGTGCAGGTGGATCCCGTCGGTGACGGTGAGCTCTCCCTTGGTTGAGACCAGATAAGGCGGAAGCTCACAGGTCGACGCGGCCAGTGCAGGTCCATGACAATTAGACCGCTCATCACTGCTACATCAGCTCTTGTCGTGGCATCTTCAGCCTCTTTAAGACCAGTGTGCTTGGTCTTCTAACCTCACAATCTCTCGCATTGACCGCATTGTCATACAGTGGCCGACAACCTACGTTACCCGACCGGGTCTCTGGGTTGATTAACGGAGCACGGTCCACACGAGGACCATCGAGGACCATCTCTCACGAACTTGCTGGATCATCTTAATGGTACTCTGCAAAGTGGATTGCAGGGCGATTCCACAGTGAAAGCTGCTTGACAAGCTTTCTCTTTATATATATTCTCTATTAACAATGCTGAACCTCAACATCTTTCGGCTACTGGCCGATCTCTCCCATATCTCCTCCAAATGTGTCTTGATATGGGCTATCCATCGAAATAAGAGTGCAGAAGGTCCGTATGATAACTTGCATCATTGCAGTGTGCTGCGAGCTAAACATTGTTTCACATAATAGGAGTGTCCCTTCTGACGCAGATGCTCTATGCTTTGGTGTTCGTGACTCGTTATCTCGACCTTTTTTCGAAGGCAGGATGGAAGCACTTCTATCTCGTATTCTTCAAGCTATTCTATATAATCTCCTCGTTCTACGTTATATACCTGATGATGAGAGTATTTCCCCGGACACGGGAAAGGGAGCGAGCCTGGAAGATGGCTATAATATCGGTCGCCCTATCTCTCGTTCTGGCCCCCATATCCATTGTCATCTTTTATCGTGGTTATCCCGATAGATGGTTCACGGAGGTAAGTTGAATGGCTCGCATCGGCCTGTTGAGCTCGCTAACCGAAGAATGATGATATGCAGACTTGCTGGACCTTCTCGATCATCTTAGAGTCCGTCTGTGTTCTCCCTCAATTGCTGCTCCTGCGCCAAACGACCGTTCCAACAGTCATCGATTCATACTACCTGCTTATGCTGGGCTCCTACCGCGCTTTCTATATTCTCAATTGGCTTGTGCGGGGACTGGGCTCCGAGGGTCACTGGGACGTGATTGCAGACCTCTACGGTGTCATCCAGACGGCTTTCTACGTCGATTTTGCCTGGGTTTACTATTCCCGCCAACGTGTCAAGCTCCGAAATGGCGGAGTTGTTGACTCGGAAGATTTCCGCCACAGCTGGCTAGTGAGCAAGATCCTGAACTTCCGGCAGCGGAGGAGTGCAGATGAGGAGCAAAATCTAAATGAGGAGGACGTGGAGGATGAGGAGGTCGCCGGTGGCGGTAGACCAAGGAACAACCGCTGGGGAGCAAGAGGGATCTCCGTCTCGGCCGACGATACACTGGGAAACCATCGTGGGACAGGCCAAGACGAGAGTCTAGAAGGATTCTTAGAAGATGAAGAAGACGACGATGACAATAACGGGTACCCTGTTAACGGGGGCGTTCATCCGAAGCAGTCAACCGGGGTAACGGGCAGCCACGAATGAACTGTCTGCCCTTAATCCCCATATATAGAAACCCTGCTGCAGATCAGCCGGTTTTGGTTACACGACTCATTGTCCTCGGGGCATTATATACTTCCCTAGGGCTTGTTCTCCCCCTTTCTCTTCCTTCATGGCCTCTTTCTTTATTACTCGGGTTCTTGTTTGCATGGAATTTCTCTCACGTCATCAAAGTTTTCACAATCTCAAATTATTTCTTTTTTGGAAATGTAGTAATGCAAAATGGGTCCAAACTGGATTAGGACACGGACATTTTGAATACCACTTCACCCATTGCTGACGGTTAGATCATCCATGATTCAGTGGCAGGGTTGATTACTAGATGAGATCATCCCCCAGCATCCGAGGGGGCTATAGATGAAACACAGGTGAGATCGACCCCATCGTTTCAGGACTGCAACCAGCCATTGCTGCGCCTGCCCATAGCCACAGCTCCTCGTGTGGGCATTGGACCATCGAAGAGGAACCCAGGTAAAAGGGGAAAGACGAGAGGGAAGAACGAAGGGGCCAATTTGAGGGCAAAAAACGCCTAGGCGACAACCTTGCCCTCATTCGGCAAACCCGGCATTGACCGACATCCTCCTGCTCTTGATCAGATCCGCGCCCGGTCCAAAATAGATCATTACTAGTGTTAGCGCGCGAGCCTGAGGACGGGCCTTTTTTGTCTTCTCTTCGTTCATGAAGGGGAGAAAGTGGGATTGATGACAAGGTGGCATCCACTAACCCTGAGGGGAAACTGAGAAACCCAGTGACATCACGTGGATGCGCCCCGGGGGCCCCGATCGTTCGACTCGCTGAAAGAATGAAGATCATCCACATGGCGGTGATGTGCGCAAACCGACAGTAGGAGGGGCCTCGATGACACGCCGGTCAGAAGGCCGTTCCATAGGGCCAAATCCCTCGCGGACGCCGAAAGGAACTCCAGCATGAAAATCTTGCGCAAAATGCACTAACCGAATTCCAGAACAAGACGGCCTCCCCGAGCGAACCGGCGATTCCTTAGGCGCCAGTGCCATGGCGGGAATCTCCGGACTGGAATAATGGTTGGAGATGGACGTTCCTGTGAAGCAACTCGCAGGTCCTGGAGAGGACCACCCCATCCATCCTCATCTCGTCTGGCGCGTAACTCACCTTTCCCTTCGGGGACACGTGGCTTCGGTTGAACGCAGGTAGCCGGCAGGATGAGCACTGGACCGATCATATCTTAACCTGCTGGATCCAGGGGGACAGCCTTCCCGGCACCCGCGCATGCGTGGACTGAAATGGGGAGAGACCATACGTTATGACCGTTCATTACGGGCCTGGAGGATGGCTTTGGTGGTCAGCTCGACTCCGTAGGGCGATTACACTAGTCCGATCGCAAAACCACAACAAGCATGTCTCCCCATGTCTGTCAGACAAGCCCGCCAGCCTAGCCTAGTCCAGTCCGTTCTGATCCACCGGGATTTGCAGCCGCAGCGACGGAGAAGCGCTTAATGGCCTATCTTTCCGTGCTACCCCTGCACATAGAGCTTCCTTGATGCTCTCCTCCGGTTTTGCTGGTGACCGTGTTTCCTCCACAGCTTTCCGAACAGGATTTAGTTGCGTCCGGCTAACAAAGCACCAGAATCCTGGCTTATGACCTACCGTTGTTGGGGCTGCGTCTAGTAGCTTGTCAATTCGTCTTCTCTTGGCCGCTCTCACCCTCCATCTCCACCTCCCGTAGCGGCTAGGAAACTGGCGATGCGTTCATCTGCCGTTCGGAGACTTTCTGGTGTATTTTCCCACGCTTTTTGACGGATTTGTAGTCATTTAATTATTTGTTATTATACTTTTTCCATTTTGCGATCCTTTACCCGGGACTTTCTTATCCGCTAGGCTTTCTCCGTTGGACTTGACCATTAGCAGAACTGTCAGCTCCAGCGCTAACCCACTGATTGCCATTTGATATGGACTTTGGGCGGTTCGCTAAAGTATCGGTTTTTGTCACTCTTTTCATGGCATTACCCATTCGACAGTGTCCACATCAGGGATCCAGTACATCGGAACTAAGATCGCAGCAGGTACTGCCTTGTTCTTGAGTAACATGGGTGGGCCTGGGAATGCAAAAGTCTGAGCCCCGGGGGGTTTGGGGGCTGGATTGTCTCCCTTCTCATGTCATGTCAAGAGATGAGAAATTATTTCTCTCTCCTCCCCTGCCCCTCTAGAAAATGGAGCCATCCGCCTGGAATCAGCGGGCGCTTAAATGCAGGCGCATGGTCATACCTACACCTCTTGATTGCGATTCAATTTTTGCGGCACAGTGAAAGTGGGCGGTACCTACCATGTTCACTAGAGCTCTCTAAGCCCGATCACCAAAGGCTTCACACTTCTGGCCTGCCTTGCGAGGCATTTTGTCTTTCATTGATATCTCCTACTCGAGTATATGAACCCACACGCACATCCATTAAACTTCTACTCCATCCTTCCACATTTCACTTCAAAAGCAATCTTTGCCTTCCACCTGACGATTACGACTTGTGAAGAACTATAATTCTTTTCTATCTGACTCATTCTGAAGAAGCCTTCTTAATCTCTCTACTCGTTCATTCGTCCAGCTTAATCATCTATTATATTAGTCTCCTTGCCACTGCTGGCGGTTTGCCCTCTTGCGTGTTTCATCCACGTTACATTCCTTCCACAACAACAGCCCCTGCATCATTTGCAACCGCACGCTGGCCTTCACAATGTATCCCCAGACACCCATCGGATACTCGGCGCCAATGGTCTTCAGCCATGGTGGCTCGAACCCCGGAGATGGACTTGACGAGTACTATGCCAGTATGCAGCCTCAGTGGACCGCACTCGATACTGTACGTTGTATTCAGATGTTATTGGATCGCCACTTTGCTGATTATTCTGCCATATAGTCACCTTATACCGGTGTTAGCAATCCTTATACTACCGCGGCAGCTTTCCCGACTGGTGCCATCTTGACTCCGATCAGCCTTCCGGATAGCTCCTTCAGACCAAGCCCGGTGCTCAGTCATCACTCACAAGAATTTCACTACAACGTTCCCGAGTCTGTCCCACCACAAGGCCTAGGCATCACCGCACCCTTCCCCAGCAGTTTCCCCCGTACCGTCACCGCAGGTCTGGGACATACCTCAGAGGAACCGGACTTTGGCTTCAGCGAAGCTATCCTGTCACCTCAACCGCCACCCGCGAAGAGGGTCCGACGTGGGCCCAAGCAGGCGGTCACACCCCGAGAAGCCCCGGTTACAATACTACCTAATCCTGAAGGGCTGCAGCGCATGGAACAAGAGCGACGACAAGGGGCAGCCGACGCTCAAAACAGTCAAAGACCCCGGGCTCCGGGTCGGGGGAGGCGAGACCCGCAAGCTGAGGAGGAAGACGCATTTGTAGAGAGGCTTCGGGAGCAAAATCTAGCCTGGAAAGTGATCCGGGAGATGTTCCGGAACAAGTTCCACAAGGATGCCTCGGAGGCGCGTCTACAAATGCGCATGTTGCGGCGACGGAAGGAGCGATTGGCACGGTGGGATGAGAATGATGTGAGTACGTGCGCCCGAGCAGTCGCAAATTGTCAACTAATTAACGATCAAGTCATCCAGATCCGACTGCTCATAAGAGCGCGGGAGTATTGGGAGCATGAGAAATACAATGTGATTGCACAGAAGGTGAGTCCCTAGTGCAACCTTGGCCCAAGGACACTTGCTAATTAGATTACGAATCTAGATGAAGGAGTTCGGAGCGGGACCGTACACCCCAGAGCAATGTGAAGCCCAATTGCGATACCTCGATGCACAGAACCGGGAGCGTAGCACTGGTCCGCGGACACGAATACCTGATCCTCAGCCATCGCGAAAGCGATCATGGTCAAAGGTGGCCTCCAGTGTGGCCAGTGGTAGTACGAAGTAGCATTTGTGGTTTTTTGGGAATGTACTTTTTTGACACTTTCTTTTGGGAGGGATGTTGAAGCGCATTATTGATTCCTTTGGGGCTTTCTTTTTTTTGTTGGGGGGAAATTACACGCAAGGATGATTGTTTACGTCTGGATGAGTTTCTTTGTTTACTTGGATATACCCTGTGACCGATTGCATGCGAATGACATATTTCTGGACAATTTTGAGCAACGTGAATCTCAAATCATGGACTTTGAGAGAGCGTCTCCCGACATCGGGAGAGAAAGCGAGCAAACCAATCAAGGACGGGCCTTGCTCTGGACGCTAATGCGACGGACAAAGAGACGAAGCCAGCGTCGTACAGGCCCTAGGGAGTTTCCCAGCTGCTAAGCGATCACAATTAAACTTTCAGGCCATCTAACGGCTGAAGATCAGCTCGACTAGGGGCCCAGCTAGCCTCTTTTGGTGGGAGATAGGCTGCATCTCTAGAGGTCAGTTCTTAGCCGCCAGCAGCCCCAAGCCACACGACAGCTGGAGGACGTCGGTCCCTATGAAAGAGCCGCCGGGGTGATCCTCCACACGCTTACGTACAGAATACATGTTGCCTAGCAGCTGCCTAACTGGTGATGTTTTAGGAGGAATGCAGTCAGTGACTCAAGCAGTCTGGCCCGGGTAGAAAACTACTCGGCTAAGTTTAGCCTGGTGTTACCGGCCAATGCAATGACATGCTCTGCTATGCCATGCACATGTACATGTACATGCACCTTTCAGCCGCAGCAGCAGGGATTGTCAACTTCCTCCCACGGCGCTGGTTTTACCGCCTGCTTTGGCTCATCGGGGATAAGACTAGTGTTCATGGCACAGTTATCTTGCGCACACCGATGACAACATGATCGTCTGCCTAGCATCTAATTGAATTGCCTTCCGCCAAATCCTGCCGTCGATTCTGCGCCAGCATGGCGGAGCACAGGATTTCCAGAATCAAGCGCCAGGAATGGTTACTGCGCTTCTAGTGTCGCTGTCGTCTTCCACCCCCTCAGCGGGCGGGCTTGCTGAATGTTGTACACGTCTTTGCCGTTGCACTCATTCCTTTCGGACCTTCTCCGGGTTCTTGAATGATAAGCGTCTTAGACACACTAGCTATGAGGGTCGTGCATTCGTTCAACGTTACGGGGGCTAGACACCCAGCATCAGGGTTTACGAGAGGAAGGGAGTAGCAGCAGGTGCCCGGGCTGTGCACACCCGAAACATAGGCTCTAATGGTCGTCCTCCCCCTCCTCTTCTATATCCTCATCCATTATAGGGAACGTCAACAGGGCTGCCACCCCTCCTAGCCCATCAAGTCGCCTTCCACTCTCATGGTCGGAGCTAAGCACTCGCACCTCACCACCCTCGACATCCCGTACCCGATCTACCAGCGATACCCAGCGTTTGCGCTCCGCCACGTCCTGTGACCTGAACAGCCGATTGGAGATGATCAGCACGCCGCCACCGCGGCCAACGGCACCCTGGTCGACAGCGAATTCAACCTCGCGGGGACCATATGTCGCTTTGTTGGTTTCTTTGCGGAGCTGGTCGAGAAAGTCGTCCATGAGCTTTGTTTCGCGCGCGTACTTGGTATCGGCAAGGATGGTCTTCACAGCTGGCGACTGCAGCACTTCCGCTAGCGAGTGCAGGTAACCGGAAGCCGAGTGTACAACCACAATACTGGGTAGAAGGCGTTTAAGTGCCGGTGTCGAAGTGGACGCCTGCGACTGAATGTACTTCTGGAACCCAGAGGCCACGAAGCCTGGCGAAGCAAGGAGAACAGGCCGAACGGTCTCGCTGCTGGTGAGTGAAGCCGAGCTGGTGTTGAATTCCAGCTGGCGCAGCAGCGTATCGAGTGTAACCTGGAAGAATTTCGACATACCCTTTCCCCACCCCAACCTGTCAGCATACACAGACAACCCCAACACGGGGACAGATAATCATGGTACAACCCACCTTATCATGATCACCCCCACCATGCCGTTTCCTGGGCACCGACATCTCAATCTTCTGCTTTAGGATAGTCTGAAACTGCCCAATAAAGCAAATATGCGCCAACCCTTCCTGCATCACCACGGCCACGGCCTCCGCCCTCCGTTGTCCCCCTTCATCCACCGCATCCTTCAACATCTGCACCGCGATACTGTCCCATCCGACGCCCTCACCGTCCGCCCCAACTTCCTTTTCTAACGTGAAATTCCGATTCAGCTCAAGATCGAGCGTATGGTGTTGTCCGATCTTCGTATGGGCCGTCTCGTTCACAATTGTCCCGCTGACATGTAGCTGCGAGCTCTGCGGATCGAAATCAAGGTTCTTCACGCGGATCTCGAGCATCAAGTGGACTCGAGCTGAGGTAGTAGAACCGGTTTCTTGAGTTGTGGTGACACGACGGATAGCGCTGGCGCGGAGGAGATCGTTCGGCCGGATGAGGTTGTATGCGTGCCACTGAAGCCGTTAGTTAGACAAAGAGCTACCCCTCAACCAAGGACAGAGTATACCATACCATATCCTCAGGCTCCTCAGGACACAAGGTCACCGTTCCGGAGCCATTGTGCTCGATCTTGTTCTTGATGAGACGCATCTTGGCTGTAGAGCAGCAGGGTTCCTCGCACGGCGGGGTAATGTTTTTGTAACTGGGACAGACAGCCTCGCGTGGTAGCAGGTGCCTTTCAGTACGTTTAGTTATATGCTGGGTATTCAGATACCTCCTAAGCACTATCAAACCCACTCAAGGTATAGATAGATGAAATAGTCACCGTCTCCGACAGACAGATCCCTCCTTCCAATCAGGCTCGGGATGATGACGACCAAACTGACTTGCGGGCGGCAGCCTCAGGCCAGGACCACCCACCACCTAGCTGCGGGACCGTCCCAAAGCGGACTAGCGATGTGTGTCATCCGACCGAGGCTTGACTATCGATAAGAGACGGAACCCTAAGACCTAAGCCCTGGTCGGAGATAAGATGATCAGATAATAATTATCCCAGTGGATTTGATGTATCATAGTGGGTATGTACTATGTATGTCTATCCGATGAACATCATAGCAGAGTGTGCAGACTCCTCATCTCCAGAGATCAAAATTATCAAGTATATAGCATCAAATAATATCTAATACGAAAACTGGAATTAGCACACCACACCGGACCCTCTAAACCCGAGTTTTTTCTTCCATCTCCGCTCGTATCACTAACTTAAACCCCCATGCCTTTATGGACGTGGGGCGGGATGAGCGGCATTACTTAAATGATGGTTCATTTCCCGGGTTGAGGGGGGGACCATAGCCTCCGGCGGAGCATATAAATTAGTCTCGTATCTCTTCTTGTTGGGTAATCGGTGGCTTCTTCTACCTTTGCATACACCTTTATCTCCCCAAAAATAATAGAAACTGGGTATACTCAGCATAATGGCTCTCTCACTACAATCAACCAAGAAAATGGTCTCGGGGTATGAGATACCTGTTCTTGGATATGGTGTGAGTGTTCTTCATCCCTGCTTTCTAGTTTATCTCCGGGTTAAGTTCTCGACTAAAGTGTGTATCGATTTTATAGGTCTATAAAACGTGCGTCCCTACTCACCCCTACCATCCAACCCAATCCACCTCATCAATTAACTCGTTGAACAGTCCCCCCGACGTCACCGAGTCCGTTACCCTCAAAGCACTGGAACTCGGATACCGTCACGTACGCACACCACCTCCAGTCCCTCCCCGCCTCCAACCCAACTAACTAAATCAATTTGTTGTAAACGATAGATCGACAGCGCCCAACTCTACAACAACGAAGCCGAATGCGCCCTCGCCATCAGCCGCTCCAACATCCCACGTTCCCAAATCTTCTACACGACCAAGATCCCCACCACGCACATGTCCTACGAGAAAGCCAAAGAAGCGATCGAGTCTAGTCTAGCTGCTGCCAAGGGGTTGGGGTATATCGATCTGTACGTCTATCCCCTACTTTTACGAATCTACATCCAGAAACTAATAACAACGGGGATGGTGTAGAATGCTCCTCCACGCCCCCTACGGCGGGCGCAGCGGCCGACTCGGCGCATGGCGCGCCCTTGTCGAAGCGCAAGCAGCAGGGAAGATCCGCTCGCTGGGGGTATCGAACTACGGGATCCGACATCTAGAGGAGCTGGAGGACTATATTCGGGGCGGAGGCGGCGGGGAGATTTCCGTCGGGCAGTATGAGATCCATCCGTGGTGTGCGCGGGAGGATATTGTGGGTTGGTTGAGGGAGAGGGGGGCGGTGGTTGAGGCGTATGCGCCGCTTGTGCAGGCGAAGAGGATGCAGGAGCCGGTGTTGAGGAGGTTGGCGAGTAAGTATGGGAAGAGTGAGGCGCAGGTTTTGGTGAGGTGGAGTTTGCAGAAGGTGAGTTCTCTGTCTTTCTTTCTTTCTTTCTTTCTTTGTGTATGGAGGTTGAAGATGCTAACGAGGTGTAGGGATACGTGCCGCTGCCTAAATCGGTGACCGAGTCGAGAATCCTGGAGAACTCGCAGGTGTTTGATTTCGAGCTGTCCGCGGAGGATATGGAGGAGTTGCAGACGACGGAGTATGCGCCTGTTAGCTGGGATCCGGCGAGGGATTCGAAGTTGTAGATGAACACTCTGGAGAAAGAAGAGTTAGTCGCTGAATGGAAGTTAGTATGAATAGAGCGAGATAATAGTGAATAGAAACAAAGCAGACAACAATAACCAAGATAGAGGCAATACGGGGTAAACAAGCGGTGATCCAATCTCGGCACAACATATCCCCGTCGCGGCCTCCTTCCGCATTCCACCCCAACTACGGAGTACATACAAACTATAATCAACAACATCAATCGATAAGACCTACGACACACCCATGGCCTCTCCACAATAACCTCCCCACCTCCCTCTACGACAAGACATGCCTCCTCACCCTCAAATGTCTCCTCCTCACTCCCCGACCGTCTCCCAAAATGCCCCCCTCCCCCAGCAAGCGCATCATCCTCGAAAAGTCCCGCACCGTGCGCCGCCGGTACCAGCGCAGCAACAAACGCTTCCAATTCACAGCATCACAGATCGCGCGCATCGAGCGCGAACAAGAGCGCGAGAAACGCGCCCAGCAGCTGCGTGACAAGGAGAAGAAACGAGTCGCGAACAAGAAGAAGAAAGCGGAGAAAGAGGCGCGCGATAGAGAGGAACGAAGGAGATTGGGGCGCATGGGTTTGCCGGATCCGAATGCGCCCGTGCCGCCGTCGAGTCAACCTTTGTTGTTTAAATTTATTAAGAGGAAGGATGGGGAGGAGGGGGAGAGTAGCAATGGTGGTGGTGATACAGAGCTAGATGAGAGTGGGGATACGGAGGTGGATGAGGATCTTTTGGAGGATTTGGAGGCCGTTGTTGATGCTGCTGCAGCTGAAGCTGATGGGTTGGGTTTGGATTCGGGTTTGGATACAGGGGATGAAGGGGAGGGGGAGGATGGGGATCATGGGGATGAGACTACGGTTTGCGAGCAGGGTGACAATGAGGGTGAACAGCAGGTTCGGGCTAAAGAGGAGGATGAGTTCTCTGATTGCTCTATCTTTTATGATGAGGATATCATCAAAGAGGCGGGGAGTACTACTGCGCCAGATCAAGCTGCGTTGCATGATAAGCCGGAGGCTCAGCCGGAGAACCAAACCTACCCCTCAACTGCCGACTCGTTCCAAGACGACACGGCACTCCTTCTCGAAGAATTCGGCCATGAATTCGAAATAGACGAGGAATTCGAGCAAGCACTGGTTGCGCTGGATGCCGTGTGATCCGAACGAATACTTTATAGTATAAGGCAGATAAACAAAGCGCTTCCGACCCGAAGGCGATCCGCCTGTCGGATAGCGACGCCCCTCGTCGGCTCGGGCGGTGATAAGCGGGCGGCTTGCCTCCCCGCCACGAAGCCGTGGATCCGACGGATTCAACACGGTGAGAGAAAGGGTGAATATGGGTAAGCTGTATTGGCATGCAGCGGATGCAGTGAGAGGAAAGATGAACATCGGAAAGGAGAAGTCATGGTGGAAAGTGAGGCCAAAAAGTTGAGGCCGCAGCTCCTCCCCGCACATGACGTCGGCCAACAGAGCTAGATGCATATCCGATCGATCGAACATCTCCGGCAAGCATCTCCCTCTCAACATTCTCCCCTCTCACCTTTCAGAATCCATTGGAAACCCAAACAAGAAGAGACACCATGCCGACCGTCACCGTCAACAACCACCAAATCTACTACGCCGACACCCACCCGGACGGCGCTCCGGCCACCGGCCAGACCATCATCTTCATCCACGGCCTGGGCTCATCGCAGAACTACTACTTCCCGATCCTCCCATACCTAAGTAACCACCGCTGCATCACCCTCGATACCTACGGCTCAGCCCGATCCACATACACCGGCGACGCCATCAGCATCGCCTCCATCGCGTCCGATGTCATCGGAGTCCTAGACGCCCTACAAGTCCCCAAAGCAGTGGCCGTCGGCCACTCCATGGGCGGGCTGGTAGTAACCCTGCTCGGCGCACAATACAGCGACCGCTTATCAGGCGTCGTCGCCATCGGACCTACCCACCCGTCCGAGAAGCTCGCAGAGGTGATGACGCAGCGCAGCGAGACAGTCTCAAAGGGTGAGAGCAGAACCCAACCAAGTAGCAAGCAAACCAGTCGTCAAACTAACATATCTCCCAGCCGGCATGGAACCAATGGCAAACACCATCCCCAACGGAGCCACTGGCTCCCGCAGCTCCGCACTCGTCAAGTCGTTCATTCGTGAATTGATCATCGGACAGAACCCCAAGGGTTACGCGGCGCTGTGTCTGGCGATTGCTAATGCGCCGGTGATTGATTACTCGAAGGTTACGGCGCCGTATCTCCTGATTGCGGGCGATGAGGATAAGTCTGCGTCGATGGAGGGGTGCGAGCATATTCATGCGGGGGTGTCGAGTGCGCAGAAGAAGTTGGAGGTGTTGAGGGGGGTGGGACATTGGCATTGTGTGGAGGCGCCGGAGGAGGTAGGGGGGCTTATTGGGGGTTTTGTACAGAGTTTGTAGTCATTGGATGAGATATTACCATGTGAATTCTATACATAGTATGAATCGGTATGCTTAGACATCAGATAAAGCTACTGCAATACAAATATGGCCAAATCACTCTACATAGTAGTAAACCATCGAACCAAAAAATACTATAGAACCATTTTTTATAGGCAATCGCTCATACCATACAATTTACCACATATCATAAGAACAATAAATAAATATATACTATGAAAGTAAAATAAATCAGTTCGCCGGCGCCCGCACCAACTTAACATCATAGTTCAACTCAAGACCAGCTTGAGGATCATCCTTGCGAGGCACGAAATCCACAATCAACGAATCCTTAACAGCAAACACCGAGTCATTAGTGAGGTATTTATCCTTGGAATCAAAGATTTGCGTCGTGAGGGGCTTGTAGCCGTCGTATGTAGCCTGCACATCCCCATAACCATTAGCACCATACCCACCAAACACAACCACCCAAGACATGAGGGAGAGGGAGAGGG